CATCAACAACGCCTACTCATCCTCTAAAATGTCTGTGGCCGTAGCTCAAAGATAGTGGCGACCTCATTTCCTTATGGATATCTTTGATTACACCTTCACATGGACCATTAGCCTGTTGGTACTGTCTAAGGCATCAGTCGATGTCAGTAGAAAGGGCACTGCAGGGGTCACTGTGGCCTGATGTGAGTTTCCCAGTGTTTCTGAAGACAGCAGAGATGCATTCCTACTGGCTTCAGGAAAAACACTAAAACTAGTTCCTTTCACCACTGCCTTTCATTAAGAGCATAGGAAGGCATTTTCCACTCCATAGAAAGTTCTGGCTGTTATCACTGCAGGGTGTATGCTGTGTCCTGGAACTGAAGGGAATTCAAATACAGCTATTTGTGCTTTTAAATGGCAATAACATTCTTTCCTTTAGCCCTCACACATGCTAAGTGGAGAACAGAGTTCTGGTATCTCAGTAGCCTTTGTTGGAAGGTAGAAATCAGAATCCCTGGGAGAAATCAGTCCAGGCAGCTGTAGCCTCACACTCCCTTTGCATGTGCAATGTAAGGTGTATTATGTCAGGTTCCTTCAAGTAAGGGCGAGGTGAATCAACAATCCTTTTATTGCCTTTTTCTTCTTTTTCAGCTGCAATGAAAACACTGAACAGAGTCTACTTTGCTAATAAATTCCTGCTGTGCTTTCTCATAGCAGTGTTACAGGACAGATTTACCCCAGACCAGTGAAATTTCCTCCAACAAATGAAGGCGCGGCACACAGTAATGGCCTTCAGTCCCAAACCTGCCCAACGCAATACAATGCAGTATTTGGTTAAATTGGCAGTTAAGTTGGGGTTGCTGAGTCTGCATAGCCACTGATCTCTGGATATTCCTGCTCACTGGATTGCTCTTCTGCACCAGTCCATCCAGAGGGAGCACTACTGCCTGGTGTTCTTACCACACCAGTTTCAAGATGGACTCCTCTGAGCACAGGTGACAGCAAACCTGTGCTTCCTCCCCACCTCACCTTCCTCCAAGAGTTTGTAAACTCTTTTATGCAGGAAAAAGTACAAATTCTTCTGTTAGCTCAAAGGTTTGCCTACGGACAGAGGATAGTACTATCTGCTGTTCTGGTGAGAGAATATGCCTGTGTTTACTCTTTCCTGACCCTGCTACCAAAGTGTTGAGGATTTTCTGAAAACCTTTACTAGAAAATTGCAACCACAGCAATACCCAGGTGTTCAGGTTTTACCTGTTTTCCCTAGAAAATTCAAACACTATAAGACATAATGGAAATGAGAGTCTCCAACCATCTGAGAGCTACTTACTGGGTTGATTTTTGGAGTAGGAACAGGGCAGCTATCTACTAGCAAAGTAATCCTCAGAGTAGTTATTTATCTGATAGATATTGCTGAGGGGAGATATCTGCTTCAAATGCATCTATTAGAGCTTTAGACAGCATTATGTGAAAACATGGTATTTAGGAACTAACAGTGTCTGATTTGATTCAAGACTTTATGCAGATACTCATTCCTTTTTCAGAGCCACCAGCTCTCTTCTAGAAAGTCCCTTCTTTGGTGGTAAACAAAAATCAGCCTCAAGCAGTTTTTCTTGATATCAATAGGTGCTTGAATATTGTGGGTTTTTTTTTTCCTTCTCTGTCTGAACAGCAGTACTGTTTAGGCAAAGAACAGAAGACTGAGAGGAAACAAAATAGCCCAGGGAAGGAATTCCCCCAAAAGCAATGGGGGAATGTGCCCACCTGTAAATACAGCAAGGGAGATGCAATTAAGTGAGTAACCAAGGGTTTTTAACTACAAATCTTTAAGCAATCCATTCTGGTGGCTAATCTACTTTGCAGAATATACATCACCAAAGGCTCAGAAGAACAGGTTGCACAAATATGCACCAGGAACTGCATAGGTATTTCTGTAGGGAAGCATTTTCTGTGGGGACTTTCCCTGATGTTACAAGGTCTATGGGGCAGACTCTTAGCTGGGGTGAGTTGCTATCCCACCACCTCAATTTCAGCAGCATTGAAACCCTCATCTAGCATTTTTTCTTGCTGTCCAATCTCCCCTCTGCTAAAATACAACTGCTAAATATTAACATGAAAAATTATATTTGGTGGACTAAATTGAACAGTCATTCATAACGTTGCACATTGCTACAGGAAACCATGAAGCTGCTTTTACAGTTCTCCTTTAACAGCTGTTCTGTCAATGCTGCTATTATGGTAAAGTTTGTGAGTGGAAATACAGAGAGTTACCCAGCATTTTTTTAGTATTGTGTCTTTACAACAGTGATAAAGCTTTTATTCTCTCTATCAATTGTAAATAGTCAAACTTCTAGCAATCTACTCAAACCTTTAGCGCTAGCTTTACTGCGCAGTTAAAGCATACCTACTAGGGCAATGCTTTCCAGCAAAATAAATGTGAAAAAAATCTGTATTTTGTTTTCCCTAATTCTTCTTTTTAATATTTGTTTTACAGATGTTCTCTTTCATACCTTCCAGAATTTTGATTTTTTAATTTGCATCACTTCTGTTATTCTTTCAATATTTTTCCTGTATGAATAATTATTTTTCCCCCTATATTTTCCTGTTCTACACTATTGAAATACTAAAAAAAAAATTAAAATATATTAATTTTATTTATTGTTGGAGGATTCCTATGAAATAAGGCAGAAAATTGCACCTTTGGTGAAATAGCAAGAGCATGTTATTGCAATAGCATGCAATAGCAACATGTCTTTAAGACATGTAAGAGTCTTAAAGAAGCAAACATTTTTTGAAGACAACCTCATTGGCAATTTTGGTAGGTACATATTAGTAATAATTTATAAACAGTAGGAAATTGAATAAAAAAAATTGTTAATCCTCTCATTGCAGAGGATTTGAAAGGCATGACTGAAGAAGGAATGCCCCACCCAGTTCTAATTAATGGGACTAGTCACTTATTAATTAAGAACATGCATAAGCCTTTGCGAGATGTACATCATGTGCATGGCAGTGGGTAAGACGGAAGTCTGGGAAGACTGTTGTTTAATTCTGGAGAGAATTATTTACTGCAACTTAAACACCAGTTAGAATCTACTATATTACTTAACTCTCCTGTTGAAAATTTGAAATAAGAGCAATGTCACTAATGCAAATAAAAATGATGAATTCCTACTACTTATTTACTTCATAGGAGTTAAGGTAGGAGTTCTAGGAAAATTAATTCTGTGTTTAGTTCTGGGCCCCTCGCTAGAGGAAGGACATTGAGCTGCTGGAGCATGCCCAGAGAATGGCAATGGAGCTGGTGAAGAGTCGGAGCACAAGTCTGATGAGAAGCAGCTGAGGAAGCTGGGATTGTTTAGCCTGGAGAAAAAGAGGCTCAGGGGAGACCTTATTACTCTCTACGAATACCTGAAAGAAGGTTGTAACCAGCTGGGGGTCAGTCTCTTCTTCCATGTAATAAGCAACAGGACAAGAGGAAATAGAAGAAGAAAATAATCTTTCAAGTCCCTTCCAATACAAGTTTCTATTTTAGGACAAACTTCTTCATGGAAAGGGATGTCAAGCCTTGGAACAGGCTGCCCAAGGAAGTGGTTGGAGGTATTTAAAAGATCCCTAGATATGGGCTTAGGGACATGGTTTAGTGGTGGACTTGGCAGTGCTGGATTAAGAGTTGGACTTGATGGTCTTTAAGGTCTTTTCCAACCTAAACAGTTCTAAGATTCCATTATTCTAATACTTGAATTGCAAGACCGACATGTTTGTAGAAATTTCTGATTCCACACCACTCTCAGGACTATGGTGAGAAATGATGAAAAGCTCATGGGTCAAGCTGAGGACAGGGAGGTCCCTCAGCAGTTACAGCCAGGGGCAAAACAAAGTCAACCTGAAAAAGATTAATTTAATTTATTGATAATTAATACCAGAGTAAGACAGAAATAGAAACAAAACTAAACCCATCACCTCCCCCCCCATCTTCCTCTTTTCCTCAATTTTATTCCTGACTCTTCTACCGCCTCCCCCACCTTGAGCAGTGCAGGGGAATCAGAAATGTGGGTTCTAGTGAGTCCATAACACTTTATCTCACCCACTTCTTCCTCCTTCCTGAGGAGGGAAGGGTCCCCCATGGGCCACAGTTCCCACCAGTTTCCATGGGCTGCAGGGGCACAGCTGCCTCACCATGGTCTTCACCATAGGCTGCAGGGGAATCTACTCTGGTGCCTGGAGCACCTCCTCCCCCTTCTTCACTGACCTTGGTGTCTGCAGGATGTTTATTTTCCCCTCACTCCTATCACAACTGCTGAGCAGCATTTTTTACCTTTCTTAAATGTGCTATCATAGACGTGCTAGCAATGCCATCCATCAGCTCAGCTTTGGCCAGTTGCAGGTCCATCTTGGAGCCGGCTGGGGAACTGACTCTGACATGGGGGCAGCTTCTGCTGTCTTCTTCCAGAAGCCACCCTTGCAGCCCCCCTGGCTACCAAAGCCTTGCCATGTAAAACCAGTACACTTCAAAACCAGAAATCTCTACAGTGCTGAAAGACATGTTTGCCTTCTGTGCCCATTGTTTATCTACAATGAACGTTTTACTTCTGTAGTAATTATTGCAACAAAATTCTAAACTACCACATACTATTTATAGTATAATACATATTTCATGCTTCTTAGAACAGCAGTTTCCTTTCACTTTTAGTAGTTTAGATTTTTCCACAATAATAACTCTAAATACCTGCATTATATCTAAGTTCCTTTTCCCCCTTTCCATCTTAAGTTTAGCTTGGTAGAGTTGCTTAGTTTTAGCCCAAGTCCTGCTTCACTAGTCGCTTTCCTTCACTCTTAGTGTTTGTTCACACTCACAATTGCCACAAAGGTGTGGTCAACCCAAACGGAAGGTTATGAATTGCTCCACCTGGTTTGATCTGCTCATGTTGGTTACACTGAGCACTCTACTGTCAGATTTCTGTCAAACAAAGTGAAGTATCTTTTTCAAATCAAGTTGTGAAAAGAAGAAAACCACTGTATTATTGTACAATGCTGTTTTATTTTTTCAATGAAATGCCCTAGCATCATAAAACAACACATTTTCTAATCTTGAAGCCAGCAAGATTGGGAAAAAAGAAAAATCAAAGTTGGTTTTCCTATACATAATTTCCATACAGAGACTACATTCAGAGAAAAAAAACACCCTAGAATTAAAATGTAAGCAGACATTACTTACACAGCTCTTTTCTTAAAAATAAACTGGACATGTCATACAACTCACATATGGTGCTTTGCTAGTTTAATATGCTACAAATAGAATCATTCAAATGCAACTATGCAGCTTTTCTATTACCTAAGACTTTTAAATTTGATTATGTCGCAATACCTTTATTATTTATTTCACACTTCTTTACCATACTACAGAATGATATTTTCTCCTTGTTTTCTGGTGGCTTTTTCTCAGAAAGGGGATCTTCAGTATGGTATTCTTTGGAAGCATGAAGCACTCAGTTTCAGATATTAAAATATTCAAAGCATTTCAGTATACATTCACTATAAGATTAAATCTCCATTTTTCAAGTAAGGGTCTCATGATTTGCTAGTAAACTAATGGAAAGGGCTGGTTTGTATTGACTCCTGTTCTCAGATATGAGAATGTGCCCTGGGAAAGCTGCAATGCCTCATAAACATCCTCACTGTTGGTAACCTGAGCGTGCACCATCATATCCTGCACAAGAATTACTGTAACTTGAAGTCTGAGTTCTCTCATAATATTCATGGATAAACCACAATAACTGTAGAAATTTTTTAACAAATAACACCTTAAAAAATATTTACATTTGTAGAATGGCATGATTTCATTTTCAATGGGGTTCTTAGTTTAAAAGTACTATTTCATTTATTAAACATGGCTTTAAAAATACAGTATACATAACACCTGTGTTAAATGTCTGAAAAACATTGGATGAATCAGCATTTCAACTCATTGCATTAATATGGAAAGTAAAGAGCAATAGTTTTGGAAAGTATTCAAGTATTTCCCTGAAATACTATATAACAAAAAACAGATCCTAAACTTTGTATGATTGTACTTGAGGCAAATATAATTTGCAAATGCTTTTTGTCATATAGAGCAGTATGAATAATACTTGTAGCAAAGATATAGCACACGATTTTGATATTACACAAAACTGGAATGTAAATAACTTCAATAGAAAAAAATAGCCTGCCATTTATAACAGTTTTCAAGTGCTTCGGTAATAAAATGACCAATCACTATGGCTTACACAGACCAAATATATGAGAAACATGAAACTAATACAAACTGGATGACAGAAGTACCAATAAATATATATGAATACAGAATCATTAGCTGTTCAAAAAAACCACAGATGTAGTAAGTTTTAAAGAGAACTTTAAAGAACACTTAAAAAAAAAAAAAGAAGAGAACAGGGGCTAACCTCTGATCCTCAAACAGGAATAAGCCTGTATAAGACGAGCAAAATTTAGCCCCAAGCTTAAACACAAAACATGTATGTGCCACAATACACAAAACCATACACAATTTAAATAATCACTCCATAGCTCTATATGACAGTCTAATGTTTTTTGTAATAAAAACAAATTAGCACAGTGAATTGGTTATTTATCAGATGCCAGTTTCTTCCCTTGACTTCACAAAACAAATTATTTTGTTTCATATTTAGTTAAATAAACACTATTTCAAAGACTTTCCATCATCAAATCATATTTCTAGACTTTACATTTCAACACCTTATTTTGCAAAGACATTTTAACATATGTAGTAGAATGTCCAAAGAATTGTGTATTGAAGTGGGAAGCTTTTCATATGTTAATGTTAGATATTTTAAAAAAAATAAAACTTGCTGGTGTTTGAGAAGTTATTTATGTTTTCCTTTGCCTGTGCCTTCCTGATATTATATAAGTATTACTGCAAGTTGCTTGCAAGATCACTGTGTGGTATTTGGTATCATCCAAACAGTCATAAAACCCTTTATAATCCCAAAAAGCATGATGCAAGGAAGCCTTCATAAAGAGAATATATAGGATGAGGTGTGACCTGTATGCAGTTGTGCTTTTATTTTTCAAAGTATTTGCACACTTTTACTGTTATTACTTAAAGCCAGGAATGTGTGTTTGAATTGCATTGATAAGTTGCAAGGTATTGTCAGAATTACAGAATGAAGGATATTAATAAAAAAAACAGGATACAAGTGACAACACTGTTGTCCAGCATTTAAGCCACATGCAACGATATATCACTCCCAGCAGAAAACATCTTCTCAAACACTGAAAATATCTTGTCGTGATGCCAATGGAAAGTCCAATGTTTTATAACACTTAGATATTATTGCAACACAATTGCTAAATTAGCTCTCTAGAAAAGCACAGAGAATTTATCAGTCATCATGAATACATAGATATAGGCTAATCCTCTCTTTTCTAACATAACTTAGATTAACTTGCTCCAAGATATATTTTAATGATTACAATGGTTTTTAAAAAAATGACACAATGCAGTAAGACGTCTAAAATTATACTGAAGCCATAAAAAAAAAATCTAGAAGTTTAAAATACTTGTCAATTTGACTAAAATGCATATTTACTCAATTTCCTTGAGTTTTTATTTTTTCTTCTCCCCACTGGAGGAACAATGTCTATAGTAATTGTTCAGCACTATTCTGACTGTAGGCGGCTTCATCTTTACAGTTTTCCTCGATTCCTCTTGCAAATAGTTTCATTAACTGGCAGTGAACCCTGAAAAATATGGAAATCAATTAGTAACAAATAAATGGGTACTACATATTTCATTCTAATTATTTAATTCAAATAATCCATTCATTTCAAGCAGTTGGACAAAGTTCCTTACTCCAGACTACAGAAACCACACTTCCATTCTTGATGCAATCCTCCCCTTCATGTATCCTCATTTACTACTCTTGTCCACACAAAAAGTTCTATGGGAACTTAGATGAGCTTATCTTTTGCCATATACATTATTTATAAAAGTCACTTTTGAACTGCTAAGTGATTATGTTTTAATGGAACACACGTGCATGTAAATATTATGGGTTTGGTTCCCTTTATTCTAAAAACAACAAACAAAAACAAGCAGCCCAAACTAATCCAAACAAAAAAAACCCCTTCAAATTTCACAAAATTCTCTGATAATTTAATTACACGCGCAGTTGCAGAATTCTTTCATCATATGCAAAGACTGGATATAAGACTCTATGCTGTGTGTAAAAAAACACTGAGGATACTCAGTATTTCTGTAAGACAAAGATGCTTACTTAAGCTTAATAGGAAAAGCTATTGCTCAGAGTAATGAGGCACTCCACTAATTCAAAAAGAATCCTCCCAACACCACCTTCACTTCAAGCACTTCAAGCACATAATATCAGTTCCTAAGTAGTAAGTATGACTTCAAAGGCAGGGTCATCTATCTCACTCAGACTGATCATTTACAACATATGTGGTTGCAGTATGCTTTGGAAAGGTAACAAAAAAATTTAAGTTTATTATCATAAGACTCAACTTTGCTATGCACAGGCACCTTTTATGGATGTCTTTATGATCATTTCTAAAATCAGTGAGAAGGCTTAATGTGTTCTGCTATATACAGAGAAAAATCAGAGCTTACCTCACTTCAATTGCTGAGCTATCCAGAGTTTCTCCATCACAATTCCAGGTGCTATTAACAATATTACAGCAACAGGCTGGATGATCTCTGCAGAACTGACCAAAACGTTTCTTTCCTATGTCCATGACATTGCTTTCATTGTCTTCTGAAAGCTTTGATGTAAATTGAAAACTCTTCACCCGATAAACATCTACAAATGGGAAGTCAAACTACAAAAAAAAAATAAAATAAAGCAAGTCGGGCAATTACAGTTAAATACACTTGATGTGTAAAGCAACTCAGCATGCAGCATTTTGTATTCAAGAAAAGTCTGTCCACTCCAGTTTTCCAGAGAAGGTTACCTGAGGCATAGAGTGATTTTTGTTTTTGAATAACTGCACAATTGAAAGACAGTAAAGCCAAAATGGAACCCTACTTCTCGATGGTCCTCCTCAAGCAGCTGCAATACTGCCACTTTACAGATAACCAGGTAACAGGTTCTGAGATTACAAGTAAATGGATTATAAAAAATATTTAAAATAACCTATCAGAAATATTATAACATGGTATTAAAGTCAAAAAGGTTTAGATTGTATCTCTGCACCATCCTAAGGACCTGTTCAACTACAGTCCTTAAGACACATGGGCTTTTATGAAAGTCTTCTGTCTTTGCACTTGGAACAATGCCCAGAAGGTGAGAATTCCATGGCAGTGTGATCAAATCACAGAGCTGGGGGTACATGAAGATAAGAATAGAGAGCAATATTATTAAATTCCAACAAAATAAAAATAATTTTAACTAGTTAATTCAGCTAGAAAAAGCAGGTCAATTAAAAGATTTATAACAGAGGCTGCAGATTTACACTACAATATTGTACAAATGCTTTAAAACAAGACTCATAAATTAAAGGGACAATCAAATTAGAGGGTTCCTCCACCTGCCCTGAAAGCAACTTAACTGATATGGACTTAAATATTTAGTAAGCTGTAATGAATAGAGACAGGTCATTTAGAAAAGGCAATGGAGTATGTCTGTGTGTGCCTATGGGAAGGGGATGGCAATGAAGCAAAAGTGAACAAGAAACAGTTTACCCATAAACCAGTCTGTATTGACATACAGTCACCTTTTTCTTCCTTTTTCTTTTCATATTTCCTTAAGTGTCCAAAAAGGATACTATTATGGTGGACACTAACCTGACATAAGGACATATGTACAACCCTGCATTTAATCTAAACTGCAAAACCAGCATAACTCAGAGAGAAACCTGAAGCACTGGAAAGGGAATGGCCATAGTGACAATCAGAAAAAGTAGAGTTGGAGGGACCTTCCCTCAGCTTTTAACCATAGACAAACTGTGAAGATGTCAAACTCCACGCTTGGAACCAGTGGTCCATGGATATGAGGCTCACTGAGCACTGTGCTTGTCCAAAAAGCTCAGGTGCAAAAGCTGGCATCCATGGCTGCAGTCACCTCAACATGCTCTCACGTCTCAAGCCCAAGCAGAATGTAGTCCCTTGATAAATGTTATAGCCAGTTTGAAAGATAGCCAGGGATGGCTTCAAATGGTCGCAAATATCAAGGGAACAATGAGTGAGAATGAGTGAAGGGAAGAAGAGGAGACTGAGAAGAGCAGGAAGAAGGTATATATATACATACACGCTAATTCTTCTACAGAGCATCATGAACATGTGAGATTTGTTATTGCTTCTATGCACTAGATATGTCATTAGTCCATTGTTCAGTTAATTTCCAGAACATGTTAATGACACCAGGTTGTGACAAATATTAAATGTGTGTATTCACAGCCATAGCTCTGGTTTCAACAGATACAACAATCCAAAGCAGTGATGAATCTTCCCTTCTGACAGCTACAACATATGCAAGGAATAATTTTGAAGCTGAATGCATACAGCTTGTAGACTGGCCACATATATGTAGTAAAATTCTACTAAAAGCCTGCAGTTTACAATGAAACTGCAGTTCTGGTAACATTCTTCTAAATCACATTTTTATACAGTTTATAGAAGTGATTTATTATTCCTTACCTCATCTACCTCAGCTATGTCATGCTGTGAGTAGTTTTTCATGCTGTGAGTAGTTTTTCATGACAACTACATGGGGCACAGTTGTGATAACTTTAAATATTGTCCAAACAGCAAATACACAAAAAATGTTACAAACCCAAATTCAATTGGCAAAAATGGAATTTTGTTAGAATGCTACGGCCAAAGACTTGACTTGGGTAAAATGTTTTGGACTGCCTTTTTTTTTATGATACACATGCTAAGATTATGTCACCCAAAAAGTATAAACTTTAAAAACCAAACCAACAAACCTGCTTAGTAGATGATACTTTTGTCATATAAGAATATCAATATTTACAACCTAGATGGACTCTGTAGAATTCACTGTCAAAGGGAATACACACCTGATCATCTTGGTTTGTATGTCTGACAAGATACCGTAGAAAATCAAATCTGGAGCATTTACGAACTAGAATGAGATCTGCTGAACCGTCTGCCAAATGAGCTGCTGGTGAAAGACCTTTTGGACTTCGTGGACAGGCACAGCTCATATTTACTGCATTGATGGCTAGAAATTTCCCTTTAATAACCTTCCACTCTTCTTCACCTTCTGAAACACATCAATAAAGACATGGATACAGGTTGTCAGCTGATCTATTCACAAGAACACTAAAAAGCGATCATTATTGGCAACTTAAAGTTTTTACTAGGCATATTCACATACTGTCAATGAATATCTAAAATAAACTACATTTGAAAAAGAAATATATTTTTCACATACTAACAGAGAAAGTTGCTTTCTCCCTTCCTAAACAAGGTGGAGGTTTTGAGGCTTATGAACTGGTACGGACTTGGAAATCTAACATTATTCAGTTCCTCACATTTGAGGAACTTACAGTGATTTTCAAGGCACTTTTTTGATGGGACTATAGATGATGTTTATGCTATATATTCCATGTCCTGAAATTCTGGTATTCTTTACTGTCTCAGTTTTAGGAACTTCACATTTATTTCAGAGGATATTATTACAATTGCCTAGGTTATTTTGAACCTGAAGTCTACTATGCATTCATTTTGAATTGACTGTTCCAAGCTTTATACATCAGAAAAAAAAAAAAGAAGAAAAAAATTGTTTGCAAAGTATTCCATAGTTGGTCTTCACTCTTTGAACTTCTCTCGCTTCCTGGAATTTTTATTCATCAAAACTTCTTATTACCAACTCTTTAGTAACAGAACCAAGAAAAACATAATTCCAGGAAAAAGAGAGTAAGATTATAATGTGACAATAGACTTGTCAACTTGAAAACAGAAAATTTTATTCTTTTTTCCATCTAGACTATCCTCTCTATCTCCTGAGAAACAAATCAGAAATAGCAGAAAAAAAAAAAAAAAAAAAAGGCAGCTTTTAAATTCAACATTTTAAACATCATTTGCCACAGTGGTTTTTAGTACTGCTTGCTTTACTGCTGATCTTTTTATGTTGCTTTCAAACAGGACATTACCAAAACAAATAATATCAATCAGATTCAAAACATGTATCTTAAGAGAGATGAGAAAGACTTAAATGTTAGAGTACAGAATTACTTTCTTCAGGCTGCAGGTAAATGACAAGACCCTGCTGTGAGATGAAGGTAAGTGAACAGAACATAAGAAACTACTGGAACTGGAAACAACAGGCATTTTCTGATACACAAACAACAAAACGAAAACAACGCACTTTACTGATAAATCCATTTGTTGTTTATCTGAGAAGCGCTAGTAATTTAGTTGTAAGTGTGTCTAGATACATATTAAGTTTTGAAGTACGCTCACTGTAATAAATAAGTCTCCCTTAAGGTCTACTTAGAGTAGAATGCTTATATATGTTACTGTAATAGATGTTTTTCACCTGCTGGAAAAATACCGTTCAGTATAAATTTCAGCATGTTACTCAAAAAAACCCTACACTGTTCAAGTAAGAACAAAATCAGGGTATTTGTCATATTTTCAGTGACCAACTGTTTTCATTTCTGTGGGGTGCATCGCTGTAACAGCACAAATTACTTGCTCAAACTATCTTTCCTACAATAGTGCAATCATAAGCAGGGAGTGCATAAACGGCACTCATTTCAACTGCCTATTGTGTACATATGCTCCAAGTTGCTGAAATCAGCATAAAGTACTAACATCCAACATTTACTTAGCACATGCACACACACTTCTGCACAATACAAGGAAATATGTTCAGTGACAGCCATCTGAACTTAACTGAATCATACACAAACCAAGTAAGCACAATGAAAGAATCAGCTAATATACCCTCCTGAGTAAAAAGCTTATCTGAGGTGGACATTTAAAATCCTTTTTATTGCAAATCAATAGTAGCTGATTGTATTGTTTGCTTACCACTACTGCATGGAGACTGGACTGCAAAGAAAGCCAGCTACCAGCAGTAATATGAATCTAAGTAAACAACATCCTACATAATCAGCTGCTTAATATCATGTGCAATGTTGGCTAAAGCAGTCTTGATTGCCCACTAACCTGTAGTTTTCTAGTAGCAACTTTGCTGGATGAAAGGTAACAAAATCACGAATTTAAAAAACAATCAACGAAACAAGCAAAACAACCCACCCAAACAAAAAAAATCAAACCCCCCAGAAACAAAAGAAAAATGGTTGGTATTTTTTAACTACAGTTATTTCTCAAGAAGAAAATTTTTTTTTTCCTACCAAAAAAATTACTATCATATTTATATTATTATTCATACCAATTACTTATATTATGTAAAGCAATTTCTTTAGCTGAATCTGGGCATAGATTAAAACAACTCAAGAAATATATCAATTTGGCCATCTCTTGACTGCATCAAAAATCTGATAGCAGAAATTGGGATGAAAGCACTATATATAGACACATGTAACAAGAATTCAAGTTGGCACAGAAGTCTTTATGCTACCAATCAATCTCCACAATATAATGATATACTTTTTTGAGTCTAGAACCAAAAAAGATGTCTCGATGTCTAGAACCTGGCACAAATACAGTGCAAAATAACAATAATTATGAGACAGTCTAGGTCCTAAGGCCCAAGCACCAAATTTTTGTGTCACTGAGCTCTGAAAGAAGAAAAAAAAAGAGAGTAAAAGCAAAAACAAGCATCCACAGGAAGCCTGCCTACTATTTAAGAGAGGTTTATCCAAGATGATAAGCCAAGGCTGGAGGCAAAACTCAACCAACTGAATCTATATATCTTTCTCTAGCAAGGTCACAAGTGTATCAATATCAGTTCTTCCCATTAGGATGCAGCAGCCAGACATAAAGATATACAACTAGGAGGATGACTGCACAGAATTCAATATATTAACAGCTGTTTTAACAAAAGGAAAGAAAAATTACGCCCATTAAAAAAAAAGATTCACAGAGGTGTGCACAGGGGTTGGAATGGGGGTAAAAAAGCAACAAGGATAGCATAACTAGACAAAGAAGAGAGAAATCTCATTTATCATTTACACTGAGTATCGGTGGGATGTTGTACAGAAATACGTAAGTCCACTAGATCAGTTATTAGTTGTCCAAGTTCACTACCTCAGTTATATTAAATAAATAGCTTTACACAGGGTGACTTTAACAAGCACAAATTTTAGATCCTGATTTATTCTAAAAGTTATCTTAATGAACCTTATCCTTATCCCTCTATACCACCTCACAGTTTATCAGTTCAGTCCTTCTCACAAAGAGAGTCCTACTTTTGCTAAAGAAAAGAAACACATTGAAATAGACAAGTAATTAGTGTAATTTTATCAGAATTTTCTGAGGTTTGGGTGGAGGAGACACCTCACATGTTTTTCACATACTTAGAATCATAGCATCATAGAATCATTTAGGTTGGAAAAGACCTCTAAGATCATCAAGCCCAACTGTCAACTCAGCACCACTGTGTTCACCCCTAATCCACACCCATGTTACTTCTGAACGCTTCCAGGGATGGTGATTCCACCACTTCCCTGGGATGCCTTTTCCAATGCTTGACAACTCTTTCTGTGAAGAAACTTTTCATAATATCCAACCTAAACCTCCCCTGGTGCAACTTGAGGCCATTTCCTTTTCTCCAGGCTAAACAACCCCAGTTCCCTCAGCTGCTCCTCATCAGACTTGTGCTTCAGACTCTTCACCAGCTCTGTTCCCTTCTCCAGACAAATTCCAGCACCTCAATGTCTTTCCTGTAGTGAGGGCCCCAAAACTGAACATAGGATTTGAGGTGTGGCCTCACCAGTGCTGAGTACAGGAGGACGATGACAGTTACCTACATGCATTTTCCTTAAAGAAACAATGGATTATCTAGTAATTAAAAATGTTTAAAAAACAAAATACACACACACTTGAACTGATATATTCTGAAAAAAAAATAATTTGTATAATACTACAGCATTTTACTTTTTATGACAAATTACCTTCATGTTTTAATCCACAATCCTTGTGCTGTTCTGCCAGCTGTTGTTCACTTTTCTTGCAAATGTAACATCTGTGAACAAAAATACCATTCAGTTCCTGAAAAAACCCACTATTATTCATTTCACCTTTTTTGTTTTACCCATCCCCCCATCACAAGATGAAGTACAGCACTGACAAACCTGATATGGCATGAATCACTATAACCCTGCAGGCAGTGCAGGTACTTAAGGACAGTGCTGAAGATTACTGGATGTCAGAGATAACAGCAGCAGAGAGCCATAAGACTGCATAGGTTGGAAGGGACCTCTGATGTGATCCAAACCTCTGCTAAAAGTTGGTCTTATAAGATCAAGGTGGTCAGTGTCTTAGTCAAGTTTTGACGATCTACAGGGATAAAGTCCACAGACCTCTGGGCACATTGTTCCAATATTTAACTGCTGTAACAGTGAAAGAAGTGACATACTAGAAAAAAGTCCATCTCAAAAGTGCTGAGTGCAGGGGAAGAATCACTCCTCACTTGTTGACTTCTCTTTTGCTTAGAAAACTCATTAAAAGGCTGGCCTTCCTTGCTGCGAGGACATGCTGCTAACTCAGGTACAGCTGCTGGCCACCAGGATCCCAAAGTTCTTTTAGGTAGAGCTGCCTACCAGCCAGTCAGTGCCCAGTCAATACTGCTGCATGGGACTATTCCACCCCAGGTACAGGTGTCTCCTGAATTTCAGGAGGTTCCTATCAGCCATTTCTTCAGCCCACCAAGGTCCCTTGGAACAGCAGCCCTGACTTTCAACATAAACCACTCCTCCAATCTGGTGTCGTCCATAAAACTGCTGAGAGCACACTTTCTGAAACTGTCCCAGTCATTAATAAAGACATTGCACAGTATTAGCCCCAGTATTGATCCCCAAGAGACACCATTAATAATTAACTGCCTGTCAGCAGGACTTGGTATTCACAGCTTTTCTAGTAGTCTAGCCAGTTTATCACTTACCTAGTCCACACCTCATCAATTTTGTTTTAAGAATACTACAGGAAACAGGATCAAAGGTCTTGCTAAAGCCTCGCTGAAGTCAAGGTATGTATCTACTGTCTCCCCTTCATCCATGGACCTGTATGGCCTGGGAGCAGACTACATCAGTGAAAAGTGGGGTAAAGGAGCAATTTTGCAGCCTTTTCCATATATCTTATCACTGTGTTCCTCACACCACTAAGTAGCAGGTCCAAAATTCCTTTACCCTTCTGTTATAATTGGTATACTTGATATACTTAAATAATCCCTTCACATCCCTCCCTGATTTCAACTCCACCTGAGCTTTGGCTTTCTCAGTTTCATTTCTGCATGTTTAAGCAATGTCTTTTGTGTTCTTCCAAAGTAACCCATTCCACTTTCACCCTCTCTTTACTACTCAGCTCGTTGCTCATCACATTGCTTTCCTATTCAAGTTTCTGCATATCAGAATGGAATATTCTTGTGCTTTGAGGAGGTACCAACTAACTCTTGTGTGCCTCTTTGTCCTCTAGGGCAGTCTCCCATAAAATCTTACCAAGATTCTCAAACAACCCAAAATCTGCTCTCCTAAAGTTCGGGGTTGCAGTTCTAGTTTTTGTCTTGCTTACTTCTCTTAGGATTTTAAACTCTACCATGTATAAAATCCCCTGCAAGGCACCAGGCACTCTTTATTCCCTTACTGACATCTGGATGACAGCTTTCTCCATCTGGAGCTTCCCCTCCATCTGATGGATCAGGATAGTTGCTCCAGCTAATACTAGAGACTGTGATCTGTAGCATGTCACAGCACTAGCACAGCAGTCTCATCAGGTTCCATGTCATTTCTGGACAAAGTTTCTGGCTCCCCTGTATCCTGCTGTGCTGTTGGCTGCTGTGACAACTACTTTATCTCTGATAGCTAAATTCATATATAAAGAAGAAGAAGAAATACTAGTGCATAACTTCAAGTAGGTGAAAGCAAAGAGAAATGATGGAACACTGAAAGATTAAGGTAGGCCCCCTGACTGAAGAAACAAGTGAAGAATATCACACAGAATATACAGCATCATAGTAGTTGTATAAATAGGCTGATTCCTGAGAGGACTTGTCCTCAGGACAAGCCACGCCAGATGTTATCATGGTACTAAAACAATTACTAAAATTGCCAGATCCAATTACAATATGAACACTTGAGAATTTTTGAATTATTATTTCCATTTGTAGAAGCTATGGGGCACTCAGACTTAATTTCTTAACACAGCATAGTATCCTCAGCATCTTGTAACTGGGTCCTGTGCTGTTATACTTTGATTCACTTAAATTTGAGGGAGGAGGAGAACCAGCTAACAAAATTTTATTATACTTTTGTTTAATGACCTGATAAAGTGTGTTCTTTTTAATGAGTCAATACTTTTTTTATAAGCTTCTCTCTTTCAGAGCAAGCATTTTGATATTAAAAACAACACTTTAGTGACCTCTGTTTATGGACAGACCTTTTAAAATAGTTCACGCCAAATATCCAGAGCTAAACATTAGCCTACCCTGTTCTGCAACTATCTTTATCTCGTGGAGATCCCAGTGTATGTTTTGCTGGTTGATAAGCAATTGTTCCTTCATAATAATGATGAGAAAGAAAAGTCTTGAAGCCTAAAACAAAAAAGGTATTACAAAGTGTATTATAAATCCACATTGCAAACATCTCTGCATACATTCCTTGATTGCTCCTTTCTTTCCTTTTCTAAGGACTGCAAAACAATAGTTGCCCTCCTCAAATTCAGAGCTCTTTGTCGTATGTTGTTTTAGACTGTAAAGAACAAGGAAATACCACACCACCACCCCAACTTTTTAACATTTGCCAAAAGTGCCATTACTTCATTTGACATCTTTAAAAGCCAACTAAAAAAATGTAGCCACTGCTGAATCTTAAAACTGGCCTACACCAAAATTCTCCTCATGCATCTTCTTTCAATAACACAAGATAAATCAAAGAAGGCAAAAAATAATTTCCACTAGCACAGGATTTATCCAAATATTAGCTAACAAGGCTAAATCACTCATCTCTCTATAATCAGTGCTAGATGAAGGGCAAAATTAAAAATTCATTCCATCAGCTGAATGTCTAAGACAGAGGAGTGTCTATTTCCCTCTAAGTAACTAAAATGAAAGTCCAAATGATTAGGACAGAGAAATAACTAACTACTTTTTACGCAGTTATCACTAGGTAGCACATATTCAACACAACTTTAATGAGCCCACTGTCAATGTTAACCCCAAAGTTACAGAGCTTTATATGATGTGATCCAATGTACTTGGTACTAAAAGGAGTTTAAAATCAGGTTCAGCCTGTTTCTGATGTTTAACAGCTTCAGAGAAGGTTGGTTTGGAGAGAATAAATGAACTGCTCCAATATGTTTACATGCTGACAAAATAACAATTACACAAGTTACCTGAGTAGTCGTATCTCATCGGACCCATCCACCGCTTCTTTTCACTATCTTTTAATATATCTCCATAAAAACCATAACCCAGCAAGGATACAGAGTATTTCAAAAACATGTTGTTGTGATGTACAGAAGAGACATCCAGAGGTTGACAGTCACCTATGAAGATTATAAGTGCAAGGTTCTATTGACATTTTATTTGCAACTGCAAACGTGGTAGTAAATTTAGCATTGCAAAATCTTTAAAAATAAAAATACATGTTGTATTTGTCATAATATATGTGTCACATATGCATGTATTTCTTATTAGTGCAGAAAAGGAAAAACAATTTTTAAATTAATACTAATTTAATCTCATACTTTAAAAAGTATTAAGTACTAAGTGAGAAGAAAGGGCTTAGTATGCTAAAAATATATAATGAAGAATTTACACTCATTTACCCTGTAGCAGTAGGAGGGGATAGAGCGATAGAACCATTTAGATTGGAAAAGACCTTTAAGATCATCAAGTACAACTTAGTTAACCCAGCACCGCCAAGTCCACCACTAAACCACGTCTCTAAGTGGCATATCTACACATCCTCTGAAGACCTCCAGGGATGACGACTCAGCCACTTCCATGGGCACTCTATATCAATGCTTTGACAACCCTTTCCCTGAGCAGATCGATGCAGTATCTTCTGTACATCTACTGGATACTACTTAAACCTGCATGTCATACTATCAGAGGATAATTCAAGCTAGAAGGAGCCTTAGGAGGTTTCTCATCAAAGTAGGTTCAGCTACGAGGTCAGATCTTGTCACTCAGGGATTATCCAATCCTGAAAATCCCTACAAACAAAGAGTACACTACTTCTCTGATGTCCTCATAGTGTAAGCCTTGGAGTGGTGGGTGCTGTGGGGGGGGGGGGGTAGAGGGCAGTGGAGGGGGTGTTGTTGCTTTGCTTGTTTGATATTTTGGTTTTTTTCTTTTGCAGGGAAGTTGGACCAGATGATCCACTGTGATCCGATGATCTGCTGTGGTCCCTTTCAACCTGACCCATTCTGTGATTCTGTGACTTAATAACTAAAATACTATGATAGTATGATACTAAAGGCACTCTCTCTCCAATCCTAATCCAGTGGCCTAAACTCTACAGATGCTGGGCAGAGTTAGCCATACGTTAGTTAGAGAAGCACAAGTGTAAACCTTGGCAACACCAGAACCTAAAACTGCAACTGTGAAACACTCACTAAGAAGTGATAATGAACTAATTGCCATTTGGAAATTCTCTCCTTTGTGCTTACGGATCATCGTTAAAACTGAATACCACCTTGCATAATTTTTCAAATTCAGTATTAAGAACTAGGTTACCATGTTTCTTCAGTATATGGCAGACAGGATGGACATCACAAATCACAATGCACTGAATATGCCAAGCTGTCTCTTTTAGTCCCTGTGCAGTTGAGGGATTCCATTACCAGGGGACTTTGAGAGTGGCAATGTCAGCATTCCTGCTTATAACAACACACTCAAAGAGCAGTATTTGAAGATCAGTTTTCTTCCCTAGTTGTTCCTGAAATATATGACTTACAGATGGCAAAAAAATGGGAATTATCAGCTAATTCCAGTCAAGCAGAAGCCATACTTCTAACTTGGCATGGGAACACTGAATTGCACAGGACAATTGGACAACCAGGACAAAATACTACTATTCAAGTGCATGTGCACTTGAATAGCTTTCTCTAAGACAGATATACATATCTAGAGAGATACAGTCCAACAAATGATACTGCTTAATGCATTTTACTATTTTCAAAAGAATGCCATAATGCAGGAAAACTTTAGCACCAGACAAAGTTTCACAATGTTATAATCCCTTGAAAACAGTGAGTTACTAGAGAGAAAGCAATTAATTTTTAACCTCCTGTATTCCACATTGGGGACTTAAATCCTAGACAAAAACTTCATATTTCAACTCAGCCATTGTGTTCAAACTACATTTCACACACATATAGAAAGAACTAAATGAAATTAGTATTTTGGGCTATTTTCATAATTTTCATAACAAAACAGCAAACTGTGACCACCCACCGACAATAATATGAAGAGCTGATGTTACTGGATCAGAAATGCCAACAGTTGAATAGCATATGCAATCTGTTGATCCTAAAAAACAAAAAACTAGAGATCAGTTTGTATATTTGCAAAACAAGTATTATGGCCATGGTCCTCCAAAATAAAAGCATTACGTTCCTTTGGTTTGCCCCTTTCTATTTTACAGAACAAAGATACAAATATTATTATTTAAGTTGTAACATTTTCTCCCAAATGAGTACAAGTTATCTCTCTCCATACAAATAACAAACATTTTCACAATATAAGCAATAAATATATAGCAGTTAGTGAAGGGAAGTAAGTTAATATATATGGAATATTTCAGGATTATATTATAGCTTTTATATCAATTAAGGCAGGCATACACTGATTCTCCTTTGCTTATGATTTCTTGCTCATTGAGATCTCATGAAAAGAAGAGAGGTTGACTGGTCTCTTGTTTTTTGTGGTACTGATCTAAATTCCAGGATGTCAACATCCTCTCCTCCTGCAGTCTTAAACCAGAAACTTCTGCCCAGTTCTATTATTTGAAAATTAGTAAATACTTGCTTTCAGGAATTAGTTTCTAGATAGGGGAGCAAAATGGATAGACATGTACCTTTACAGTCTTGATGCAAAATACCTACAAGAAGAAAGGGGGGAAGCTTTAGGTTTCACCTATGTGCTGTTTAGAAATGGACAATTCTCCCTGAGCCCTATAAAAAACAAGAGCCTAACATAGGGATCTGGTTTCTACTCTGAAGCAGGGACTTGGAAGTCAGTTCCAGACATACAGAAGCATATTTGTTGCAGCACGTAACTCCAAATTTGTCTTATATTTTCTCCCATCACTTTCATGAAATTGAATTCCATCAAAGTCAAGGCCAGATATCTGCAAAGAAAAACTTACTTTGTCCACATTCATGTTGTCAGATTTGCTACCAGTACACTAGCTGAAGAGCAGCTCAGATACAGAGTACTTAATTTCTGAGGCCTGATCAAATTGAAACAGAAACTAAAACTGGAGGAATGAGCAATCACTATTTAAAAGCCACTTTTGGTTCTTTTTCACTTAAAAAACAGGACATATGCAGTCAATAGGAGCAAAGACAATCCTTTCCCCTCTAATTCACTTCTCAGAAAATGGACAACACTTCACCTGCCTATGAATGGCACAACAGAAGCTTCTACCAAGTAAACACTATGCAGAAATCTGCCACAGTGAACAAGAAGCAGCTCCATGAGCCAACTAAAGAGAATTTAAATATAACAAAACTGCAGAACAAAAGAAACAGTGTGACTAAATAAATCTCTCGCTACAAGGCTGAGGTTCAAGATGGTGCAAGTGTACTAATACAGGCATATGCCATTGCACAGAAAACAGGACTCCAATTTCACTCAATACCGTAATAGACAAGGTACACAGATGATGATCTCATGTCACATTTAGAGTTTTATAGCAAAAAATATTAAGTAGCATTTGGAAACTGAAGCTATATTTTACTGCCAAGTTTTTCAGTTTCATTTTGCCTCCTAACTCGTGAATTTCAATTAGGCAGAAATAAAATTCTCATTACTTTTGAAAAGAAAAACAAACAAAAAAACCTGAGAGATCTGACCAGAACTTTTACTGTTGAATGTATAAGCCTAACACTTCATCCAACCTTTCTCATTTATTCCAGACCTGTGTGCATTCTGCTCCTAGAATTACCTTAATCACATTTGTCTTGATGTAAACAGAGCTTTCAAGTAGTATTACACTACAGGTGGGAGGAGAAGAGGGTAATTCATGAAAGCTACATTTCGACACCAGAAGCTTATCTCCCTGTGATTTTCTGTAGTCATTAAAAAGTGATTCATCTGTTTGGCAATTACATAGAACTTATTTTCATTTCTATTCATTAACAAGCAAGGAAAGGCTAAAATTAAAACTGAAGTCTTAAATTAATTCTGAGACTCTAAAATGGGAGACTGGGGAAGACATCAACACTTTTTACCAAGTGTCAAATCATCCCTCTGCCTCAGACATGACAGAGGACTATCAGTAAACAGTAAATGTTTTTTTCTCTCTCAGAGCTTGTAGTATGGAGCAACAAAACCAGTGACACACTTACATGGAGGTAATTATGGCATTCCTTATATACCTGCCAAGAGAACATAACATCACACCTAGCATGAACCTAAGGAACTAGTTTAAAGGTCACAAAAATGTTCATGATGACTAAGGATTTGAATGTTTTTGAATACTTTTTATCCAAACAAGAATTCTAGACCATTAGGTGGGTCTTCAACAGATGCTGAAACAGCACTCAGAAGAGATGCACACAAATCCGGCTTATTTCATCAGTATATGTCTAATATGAAAAACAGGATTAGAATGCAAATACAGCTTGAATAATATTCCTTGATTAATAGTTTAGGATTGCCAGAGCACACAGTTTGGGCAAGAAGTTTTCACAGAGCGTGACCCTTGACTAGTGTTAGGCAGTGGCTGTTTTATGCTCTGGTTAAACCAACAGAAAAACTCTGCCATGCTCTGCCAGCTTTTCTTTGGGGATTTTTAATGGCAACAGCCTGAGTGATGGAAAATAAGAGACGTTTTTATGGGTTGCACAGAACTACACGCAAATGTGAAGAAAGTAGTTGGACTGCTTGCTAACTGGGCCTTAATTCACTTAAAAAAGCATCTTCGGTATAGAAACTAATTTTTGCATTGGTGTGCTAGTGGAGAAGAAATTCAGCATGCAAGGGAATGATTAAGTGTCAGGTTAAGACACTTATACATAGCTCTATGTGTGCATGTAACACAGCAGACAATAAATATGTCAAAGCTTCCATTCTGGTCAAGGACATCTTGTCAGGAAGAGCTGATGGCAGCTTAAGCTTGATTCACACAGAGGCCTCACAGGGAGGGCCTTAGGAAGCAAGACATCTGCATATGACAGGCAGATGCAATAGCAGATCAATAGGCTCTACTGACCATATTGATCAGAAGCCCCCTGGCTGTAACATGAGTTTAGATGTCTATCTCACTTGCAGACACCAAATGCAAACATGAAAATTTGAGTCTCAAGTTCAAACTGAAACTCACCCTAAGGAGATTTAACTCCATCACCTAAAATGCCACCATCCACCAGTGTTCAAGTGCTGCAGATTACTCTGCTTGGCTTCCAACTGCTACTCTAGTACAATAACTGTCTTGCATAGGGCTAGTACATTTCAGTGATGGTGGCACCTTGCCACCATATGTAGATAGAGGAATATCTGAATTCTCCGAGCTAAAGAAAGCTCTCATGCCAGATATTTTGGTGTTAGGAGCTTACTGAAAACATGAAGCCTGACCAAACCTGACAGAGTTCAAGCAGCATTTGGATGATACTCTCAGGCACATGGCATGACTCTTGGGGATGGTCCTGTGCAGGGCCAGGAGTTGGACTCGATGATCCTTGTGGATCCCTTCCAACTCAGCACATTCTGTGATTCTGTGAAGTATGCAGAGGGCACATAAACTTGTTTTTGTTAATGTATAATTATTTGGAATCTTTACCAGACTTTATACATTTTCCTTGAAGTCTGTTTATTATTAGAAGGTATTAGTTGTTATACAGGCAATTTCTTCTACGTTCTTTCCCTCCCCAAATATGAAAAATGAAATTTTTTATATAAATACATTTAGTGATTTAAAAATTATCAAAGAAATCCTTCCTTTTAATTAATCACAAGGAGGAATGATCAAGATATATATTTAAATTAGTAAAGAGCACGTACTCCCCATAGAATGTTTTTGCTAAAGCAATATTAAGGAAAGCAAAGTGATGGACTGCACCACACAGAATGTAGTACAGTTAAATCAGTAGATTTCCCCTTTACATGTGAATATTGCTGGATATTTGTGAGTAGACAAGTCATGCAGACATGTGCTCAGACACCAAGTCATAAGCTTTAAATTGGTCATAGAACCACCAAAGTGTTAAGCAAAATCAGATGATTTCCTCGTTGTATGGGAGAGTTCATGCCATTGATTCTGTGGACTAACAAAAAAAAAGTCAAAGTGCTAGAATTAATCATCCGAAATATGATTAGACTACTAACTCAGAACTAGGTTTTCTTAAACCAAAACACACACATGGTGTAGGCAATAAATAGTTATTTTTATGCTTTTATTGATGGAAAATGAAACAAATTACAAACAACTGAAAGTACTAAACTAAGCAGGTGACAGAAGCAAGTCAACTAGATGCTGATCCTATGGAAAATAGTGAATTTAATAAAGAAACAGAAATACTTTTAGAGCTCATGAACATTGCTCCATGATTACTCTTGACAAGGGCAGGTGCTCCCACAGCATACACAGAATCCTCAGACAAATCAGTATGAGAACAAGATTCTGTACTGAAAACAGGAAGAATAGAAACTTCAGTGGGGTTCCCACGTGTGCAGTATTTTTGTGAAGTCATAGACAAAATGTCAAGTGAGTCACACTAATGACAGAGTAACCGCACATTCTTGGGTCAAACAGCACTTAGTATTTTGAAAAAATCTACAAAGTGACTTTTCTGGGAAGTGAGTTTTAAATGACAAGGACTTGGCACATTCAAAAATAAGGGGAGAAGCTACTGTCACAGGGACAGATGAATGGCCTGGGCTTACACTTATATTCCTACTCAAAATTTTATACGCCTTACTTTCTGCATCCAGAGACTGAGAAATCAAGTTTAACATCTGCAGAACAACAGACTGGCTTAAAAAGAAAGAGTTCAGAAGGATTTTGGTCTGGGATTTCTTGATAGATAATCACTTCAGCCTAAGATCAGTAACACAGTATAATGAAAATGGATTAATCCAATAATGGCAAATTTAAGAGATGAAATTAATATCACAAGAATAAGTAATCTTGACTTAGTTGTCTCCACAGCAGGCCCACTACATTAAATGCAGTATTTAGCTCTAAGACTGCCATTTCAAGACGTATAATGGATTTAAAATGCTGAAGGAGGAACATAAAACATTACATTTCAGATTTCAAAGATACACTGACCTATGAAATGAGATGCTAACTAAACAGCAGAGATCATTAAATATTACAAATGTAACTGAGAAGGCTGTGGACATATCACTTGGAGTAATTTTTTAAAAAAAGATAGTTTTTATTGCTATGCTATAGCACATTTTTCAAGAGAATTTTTACACTCTACATGACAGCAATATGAGTCCAGTCATGCTTCATTATTTGACTTGAATCTGTTTTTTAAGTTTGTGAATGATCCTCCACCATTTTTCTACACTCCCTTCACACAGGAAGCCTGTGCCATCTTTAGCATTCTTAACTTCTACAGTTACACATCAACGTGCAGATTATAATCATACTGCATGCTTCAGTCCTAGGCAGTAGGATTGACCTCAAACATAAGAGTTGACCACGAAAAAAAATGAGAGTGATCTGGGCACACTGGGAGCCTAAAATCACTGTAGTTATTAACTCATGTCTACACTTTATTCAATCTTCTCTACTGCTTGGAAGAATTTTTCCCCTATCCCCAGGGTAAGTTGCAGATTTGGGTTTTGGAATAAATGTATTATAATATTATTTTGCATTATTTTGGAATAAATACTATTATGTCACAGCACAGAATAAAGTGGGATGGTTTTTTTCTACCTGCTGAGATCATTAGAGTATTTAATCTAGTAAGTTCTTTTTAACTAAAGAGTCCTCTGACAGCAATTGACAGCTTTGTCCTCCTATTCCGTGCCAAGTTTAATAAGAACAACGAATTACTTTGGCTTACTCCAGAGGGTATAGTTGCAATACTAAAACATTTGGATGAAACCTCAGTGTTACATGCTGTAACAGAAGTTATTCTCTGTTTTTAAATTCTATGGAGACATGCTACTACTTTGAATGCAGTGAGACTCCATGGCTGAACCTGCTTTTAAGGCTAGAAGACATAACTAGCTTTTAAGGCTGGGAGGAAGAAAGAACCAAACAGAGGTTTTCATAGGTGTGCTACAACCTCTAAGTACTCTTAACAGCAAATCCGTTTACAACGGCAATCAGTCAATTTCCACTGGCAGATTTGAAGAATGGCTGCAACTGAGAGAAATTCAGAAGTTAAAACTGCCATTTGAGTAGAAGCCTTTTATTCATACCAATAAAAACACAAGCTATTTCATAAAAATGTTCCATAGAGCATAAAAAAATCACTGGGTAAACTATCTCCATGTATCAGAAGACACACAGAGCTTTAGATCTTAATCTCTAAACTATGGATAGTGTTTGTTTTCAATATCTATTAATGAGCTCTTAGGATTTTTAAATAAAGGTGGGTTATAAAGACCTAGAAAGAACATAGTGGATTAAGTTTTTCTAGATGGATAATTTATATCTCGTTATTACTTTTGGTGTGCTGTATTTCAGGAATATCAGCTAAGTTTAAAAAAAAAAAGTCTTTTCAAAAATTTCACTTATTTTTGGAACAGACTGCTTGCACCAGTGATGGAACTAAGGTATCTGTTGGGGTCAATACATGGCTAGAACTCCATTATATCAAGCAAAGATGAACCAAGAACAGCTTCACCGAGAGCTGAAAAAAAATCAAAACAAAAAAACAACTCTTGATGCTTTCATACTCAGTTTAAAGTCTTTAATGTCTAGATGTGTTAAGAAAGGGTTAAGATTTGTTCAGTGATTTGACTACTTTTTTCAGTAAATAAGCACCTTCCCATATATACAGTAATGGATCATTCTAAATATTGCACAATATACAAGCAGATCAAGATATTTATTATCCTCTTCCAAAAAATGAATTAATAAAACTTTAAGACCAGCTTCCTTCTACACCACTATAAATAATTTTTGAGGGATTTGAATAATGACTTGGAGAAAATATTTGAATTATAGCACTGACTACAAGGCTGTACCTCATGTTAGTTCAAGGAATAGAACATACAGTATACCTTCAAATAGCAAAAGCGTACGATGGAAAAACACAACAAATGAAACATTAAAATGTGTAAGAGAAGAAAGTGACTTGATACATGTTAACAAATTAAAACATCAGTGAATCTCATACTTTTTGGGTGTAATTGGAAAAAAATGCATTAAGAAATTGTTGAAAAAGCAAGGTTAGTATTTCCTAAGGATAAAGAAATAACTCTTAATATTGAGGTTCTGTTTTTTCAATTGTATCTTTTTATGGTCACATTATCACCAGAAGGCAAAATCTTCTGAAAATAATCATGTAAGCAAAAAATCTTTAGTTCAAGAAATTTTCCCAAATAAGGAAAAGGAAGAAAAGAACACTTCAAATTCTCTTCTTGTGAATTTTGTTACACAAACTGACTTTAATACAAAGCTTTAACAAATAAAATCAGGATATACTTAAATACAGTAATTCTGTTATACAGAACCCTTAATGTGCTAGCTAACAAGGAGAGTGAAAAACTATAAGGGGATATTCACATTGCAACTTTTAGATAACTAACATTTATTGTACTGCAAGCAGAAAAGATTAAGCTTCTTCCAAGCAACAATTCAGATCATTTGGATTTGCATACATTCTTCACAAAGATGTAAGGAGCGTAACATTAGTCACCTAAAGCCACACTTACTTCATTTGGTGTATTTTTACAACCTGTGCTAAATTTTCTCAGAAAACTTTATTTTAATTCTAATCAGAAGCTCACAATGTTTATTTCACATCCCAGTTCTTTATTTTAAAGCTCAAGCATCAGACAAGAAAAAGAGAACAACGTAGAAACACTGAACTGTCCATCTGTCTCTCTACAGAGACCTCAAAATTACAGATAAAGAGTTGTTGTTAAATAGATGCAACACTCAGTCCAGGAAGAGAGAGTCATCTTGTAAGTCCCCTTCTGAAGGAACCTTTGAGGACCAAATGGGCAGGGTGAAGTAACACTTGGAACACTAGATGTAAAATAGCAAAACTGATCCAAAGAGTACCTTCATTGTCAATAAAAATAACACTAATAAAATCACTAAAGACCTCAGTTTGAAGAATGAGTTCTCTCAAATGACAGTAGCCAGGATGGCCTGAAAAAGTGGCTGACATGGAGAACTATGAATGTATAGCACCTCTGAAAATGGGCAGAAACTGCAACTTGGTCTAGAAACAAAACTGTTCCTCAGCTGTAGTTGCCCTATACTTGCAGTGATAACAAATGGAGAAAAAGAGAGAGAAGAAATCTTAGCATTTGTTTGGAGTTTGCCAGACCAGTGGGAGGTTCTTATACAATTCTAACTAAACTTGTGGAGCATTTTGAACTGGAAAAATATTTATCAGGTTTATCTGTTCAGTAAATTCCACTCATTAATGTGTTCAGAAGAGTACTACTGCTGACATTTTAGCTCACATTAACACACAATAAGCCACAAAAAAAGAAGTAGTAAATTAATTCTGAAGTTACACATCAAGATTTTATTTCCTTTACAAAATACTCTGCCTAAATAAAATTGCATGTGATCAGTAATTATATCTGGATACAAACAGCTTTAGTTAGGTGCCTTTATGGAATATCATTGTTCAGATCTTACATTTAGGTCTAAATTCAAGAAGTTATGAGTAAGAAAAAATGTCAAGAATTAATGAATAAATTAAACTGAAAGTTAACCCTTTCTTACCAGCAGGAATTATGCCAATCCTTATATTGCACTGGACTAACGATGCTTTGGGATTATTTTGGTCTATGCCAGAGTCCTTCTGAATTCTTCCAACGAGACCATGCATCACTTCACTGAACATGCCGTCCCCACCAACACAAACAACACTGCCAGGAAACACAAATTAGAATGCACACTAACAGTCAATAAACAACACGGCAAGTGTTCTACTTAGGGCATGCACTGGGCACATCAAAAATAGTTGTTCTATTCTCCTCCTCCATTTTTACAGAATATAGTAGCCCAGTCAATTGGCAATTAACAAAAAGCAGAAAAAAAAAATTCAAGCTACACAACTGCAAATGCACCTAGATGTATCTGTAACGTTAGGAAAAAATGTTGGAATGCAACCTACAAAAATCTTTATCCTCTACTGCTGTGTGCAGACAGACAAATATCAGTGGAAATTCACTATACAAATAAAACACTGAACAGGACTGTACATACAGTTTTCTAAGTACACAAAATGGAAATAGGGTACCCTTACTAAAAAGGGAAAAGTTAATATTTGCCACTTCTGGCAAAAGTATATTTTACACAATAGGGAGGTACATTATATGAAAGTCAAAAAGCAGAAGTGCATGCCTGCATGCTCTTTTGAACATGCTGAGAGCCCATCAAACAGACAGAAGTCATGTATATCTACATAATCATTCAAAATGAAACAGAGTTCTGAATGTTACCAGATACAAAACTTTGTTTTGCAAATTTAATTCAGGTCAGAGCTGGTGCAGCAGCTACACAGATCCTCAATTTGTTAAAGCTCAGCAGAGAGTCCAGAGCCAAGCAAATACTAGGAAGTAAAAGACTATTTTACAGCACTATACATGTCATGAACAATAATCAAATGCAGACCCTGAACTCTAAAAGCATCGACATTCTTTAACTGAAAAACTAATTTAAATACACTTTAAAGGAACACATGAGAACCCCAAAGTTATATATGTGGTCCCTAGCATACAAATTTAGGAATGTCTACTGTCACCTATAGTAATAATTTTCAACTCATAAACTAATACTCTTTTATATTATCAGCAACAGATATTGCAGAATGAGCGCTTATTTCATAGGACAAGTTAATTTATCTAATTTTTAAGTATACATGATTTAAATGTAGTTATTGTTGTATTTTCAGCTGAAGGAAAGCTTGAACAAAACAGTCATTTTTTCTCATGAGTGGGGAGGACAGTCTTAAAAACATACGGTGTCCAACTCTAAGTCAAGACCTAGGAGACTGGGAGAGAAGGCATAAAAGGTTATTTGTTTTCCATTTTTATAATTTTTTTTCTCTTCCAATAGCCTATTAGATAATTATATAATATCCATTATTCCTCAGCTTTAGTTTGTCTTATATTTCTCTGCAGACTCAAAAAAAGAGGTTAAGTGGCCAAAAATTTCCAGGTCAGTACAAGGATAATATTGTCTCAGGGTAATTTGCTCAAAGCCCCATCCAATCTGGCCTTGAACACTTCCAGGGATGGGTCTTCCACAACTTCTCTGGGCAACCTATACCAGTGCCTCACAACCCTCAAAAGTAAAGAATTTTTTCCTTATACATAATCTAAACCTGCCCTCCTTTAGTTTAAAACCATTACCCTTTGTCCTATCACTACATGCCTCTGTGAAATGTGCCTCTCTAGCCTTCTTGTAAGCCCCCTATAGGTACTGGAAGGCACTCTAAGATCTCCCCAGAGCCTTCCCTTCTCCAGGCTGAACAACTCCAGCTCTCTCAACCTGTCTTCATAGCAAAGGTGCTCCAGCCCTGTGATCACCTTCTAGAACAAATAGTATATCCAGGCTCAGAGGTGACAATTCTGTGAATGTCTATACCTATCAAGGGTAAATACTGACAGATAAAGAACTTCACATATGCAATAATAGCATGACCAAATCCATTGCAAACATCAGATGACCAATGTACAAGTCACACGTGTGCAAACTGCATGTGTGAAGGCTCCTAGTGAAGAAAATCTGAAAGAGATACCTTTTTATTTTTTGGCTTTATTTTACTAATAGACTAGCATTTCACTTTTTGGAGAGATGATAACAGTAAAAGACATATGCTAGAGTACTTCAGGAGAAGCTAGTCCACAAGACAAATGAGTTTTAAAAGGCGTATGGTCCCTTTTAATCTCAACCATTCTGTGAACTAATTCAAAAACTAGGAAAAAAACCCAGCCAGAAACAGTTCTACAAAGGCTTGTGCAACAGGATAAGGAACCACAGTGATTCATTTCACTTATTTTAAACATGGCTTTTACCTGCACAATATTACAGCATGCTCTGATTGTTCCTCACAATGATGTACAACAGTCTGCTATACAGTAACTAAATGAATATTTTAAGTAACTGTGCTTAGAGAGAAGCTGTTCTGTCACTGAGCTAATAGGTCAGTACATTCAATGTAAGAAATTCTTATAAGGTGAACTAGGAAGAACAAACAGGAAACACGTGCAAGAATTTTAAATAAGCTGCCTCAAGTAAAAACATCTGAAAACAAGTGAAGTGATTATCATTAAGAATCCTATGTTTAGTTGCAGAATTCCATGTATGGGTTTGCCTAACAGGGAATCTGGAGATTAAATGCAGAAATTCATCACTGAATGAAGGGGAAGCCACTTATGAGAACCAATCTAAGAGGACAGTTCAATGACAATTACATGTAGGAATACAAAGAATCTTTTCCTGTATGTAAGCAAAGTCAGCCAAACTTGAAGAAACACACATGTTTATGTGGTTAAACCTTTTTTAAAATATTCCAGTTGACCACATGACCTGTTATTTAAAAAGTAGTTTTAGTACAAGATCTCCTTCCTAACATGACTGTTGACCACAGAGAAAGACTTGTACATGATGGACAAAAATCAGCCAGGCTGCAGTTCCCAAGCCAAATGCCATTCAGGCCCTGTCTGGGAATAGAAGAATCATAAGATTCCAAAAGATGCAGTTCTCTGGCCTATTAGTTTATCTTGGCATGTTAGAGATAGAAAACCAAAAAACCCCACCAAAGAAAAAAATTTAAAAATTCTACAATACAAGACCTTGAATCTGTCAAAACCACTTCAGATACCACTGCAATTGGTCACTGCCAATCGTTTTAAAAAAACAACTTGCTAGTAGTGGACAGGGGCTCATCTGCCTCCCTTTCTGCTCTGTACTGGAATTTCACCAACCATCAGCATACTTAAATCATAAGTCAAATGAAAAGGGAAAACCTTAATCAACTAGTTTTTTTATAGGATCAAGGTCTCCCCTCCCTGCACTTCTGAAAAATTAAGAAAAATCCCAGTATAGACAAAACTGTTTATTTAAGGTCAACTCATTTTAAAGCAGGTGAAGTCTGGGAACATCATGCCCTTACTCGATATATACAATGCATATAGATCTGCTCCCCTAGCAAAACTACTCTGAAAAGACAGAATGTATTTTATTTTTGCAACTTACCAGTTTAAATGTACCTGTCAGCAGGCATAAGATACTATTTTAAAATACTGTAGTTATGAGAGTTTATCTGCATAGGTTCTGCATATATTTTCATGATTTTCCAGACATGTAACTTATTTCATGTTATTAACTGGAAACTGAAATTACTAGCTTATTTATTAAAATATTCTGCTTTTACAGCAGATTTAATAATGGAATGCAAGATAACTATTCAGTCAGCTCTTCTTTTAAAACAGTAACTCCACAACAGAACAAATGCAAATAAAGCCAAATGATGTAGCCATTATTTAACAGCCACACAGAGCAAGAGGAACTACCTGAAATATTTCTAAACAGTCCATGTTCTTTTACACACAGGCTAGTGCCTGTGCCACTAGTGCAGTGTTCTGAACTCCTGCGTATGTCAAGATCACAAAACATTTCAGGGTAGTTTTTGAGCTATCACAGAACGCTCAACTAAGCAGAATTAATCTTACATTCATCTTTTGAACACAAATCTCATGCCAACACTGTTATATTACGGTTGAATATATTGTGTATTGAACAAGTTTACAGAAAGAGTTTAGTTTTCTTTTGATACTCCTAAATGGGGATCTCCTACAGAAAGGAACACGCCCCAGGGCTTTCAGTTGAGGCTATAAATGTATCAGCAATGAAGGCTACCATTTTAAATTAAAGAACAGGCAGATTACACAACGCATCAGCTTTAAAAGAATAAAAAAAAGGCAAATGAAGTTACTTACCCATCATATTTATAAATATTAACTTCAAATAAATTGTCCTTAGCATGGTTAGCATGTTCAGTTACTGTGAAGAAATAAACACGTTAAAATTTACTATTAAAAATACTATCATAAAATAATTTATAATACACAATTATAAAAATTAAATCATTAATAACCATGATTCTATTACCAATGTGATCATAAAACAGCCTGTCCATAAAATGTGTTTTGAAAGATTTTGCCAGGGAAGGAATTGAAAGAGGCATGCACTGCAGTACATAGGGAAAAAATATTTTATTAAAAATTGTGCAAATGAACATTTGGTTTTAGCCGCGAAACTGAAAAAGAGAAGAAAGGCAGTATTTTATAGATTAAGAGCTCAAATAGCTCAGAAGCAACAAAAGTTTTAGTTTAGTAAAAAGTTGATATAAGGTTGCAATTATTTGGCTACCTATGCTTTAATCAGGAAACATTCTCTACCACTTTATTTCATTTCCTTAGTAAGAAAAGGTGAGTAACAGAAAGAACTTCAGCTACTCAAGGATGTTTTAAAGGGTTCATCTTGTGTTTATTAAGAAACTAAAACATTAATTACTCACTAACAACATCAGTGGATATAGAAGCCAGACTGAAGAGTGGAGCAACTTTCTGTTCATAAATCCTTTTCCCTTGTCTTTTTCCTCCATAGGGATTAATATACACAAGCAACTGCTTTGGTCTAGACTCTGCAGTAAGGAAAAATATTACAGTATATACTGATTTTGTACACAAAACAAAAATTCAACAAGCCATACAAAACCAAACCTATTAATATCAAAGTGGTCGCAGCATAAAAGACTTAGAACTTTTTATTAACTCTTGTAATTCTTTTAACAAAGAGCTATAAAATCCTGCTTCATCTGTCCTCTTTATTATACTGAGGATACTGACAGTACTGAACAATTGTTAATAAGACAGCAGGAGGTAAAATTCAGAATAATTTCTTCTGAATGCATATCTTACATTCTTATGCATCATTCTTGCAGTACCTTCCCACCATATTAGTAAAACTAATTAATTAGTATCCCAGCACACAAGGCTAGGATAGCAACAGGAAAGGCACTTGTAAGTGAAGCAAACGTAGAAATACTTTTACATTATTTCAACTACCTTCCAGCTTTAATAACATATTTAAAGTGCATTTCCTTTCTGTAATCAAGTCACACTAAGAATACCTCACAAAATTACGTGCTGCACATCAAGTGCTTGCCCTACAATGTAACTCCTTCCCCTTCCCGAAATACCTTTGATATTACTACCTCAAGTTTTACCATTTATTTATGGATTTACATTGGTAATGGCAATGAAAACAATTACTACACTTCTGTATTAACAGATATACAAAATAGTAATGCTTGCTGCACCTAGAGAACCTTCCTTTTTTATGGAACAGAAAAAAACTTATAACATGCATACTTCCTCAGATGGCATTCTAAATTATTATTATTTTAAAAGGAAAGTTATATTAGAATTGTTAGATCAGCACGCTTTTACAACAAGTCCACCCAAGCTAGACATTTTGAACAGTTTAAATCTGCCACAAGCTCAAGGTACTATTCACCCTCTCTGAGAAGTTGTTCCCTTTCCTGAAATAGTTTTTTACCAGTAAAATGAACAATTGCACTCAAATGGAGCTGACTGCTCAGGCCACATTTCTCACAGGTGTACTGAATGGGTGCACAAACCTCATTTTTTGAAAAAGACAGATACCTTGTGTAACGTATATAAAACAAAAACACTAAAAAGAATCTTCCCGTGGCCTGTTCATAACAGTTTTTCTTAAATATCCACTTTTATTCTGTGAACCTTAAGTACTTTCTTGAGTTACATTGTAGGTGTACTTGCATCCAGTCCCTTCTCCAGCTCTGTATCTCAGATGGATCTCAGACCTATGCTGTAGGTAGCTCATCTCCAGTCCTGTCTCCAGCTCCAGCTGCTCCGCTCTGGCCTCCCTGGGTGGACCCAATTACTTTATCTCACCTGGGCTGTAAATCAGACCTGATTTTATCCCCATCCCTGTTCTTCCCACCCTGTTCAGATACAGTGGGACTGCATCCTGGTTAGCATGGGCACCACCTGTGCTATGGCCATCCTTGATGTCCTTTCTGTCATGGAGTTACTCTGCTCCTGCCACCCACTGACATCTATCAAGGTACCTCTTTCAGGAATAACTCCTGCAAAACTACTTTTAACCTTCAAGAAGTAGATGTCCAAGAGTCTCAGAAATGATTAATGGGAACTCTTACCACATAAGGTACATTTTGTTGATGAGAGAGTCTGGAAAGGTGAAACACACACAAAAAGCCACCCATAAATCTTACAATTGCTACAGTCTTTGTCCTCAAATCCCTGCAGTTTACATCTGCCCTTTACTTTCTCCAAAGCCTCTGCTAAGCTTGTAATGTGTCCCTATGTCGTGAAAATAATATATATCTGGGCAAAATTATATGACAGCTATAGTTCTATTAAACACTCAGTACAACCCAGTGAATATGCAAAACAGAAAAGCAGTGATAAGGAGACACTTCAACTCTTAACTCCCTCGATTTTTGAGTTCAAAAAAGCAGATATATCAAAATTACACTGATTGATGTACAAGCCTGCAAAATGATAGTGCAAATGTTCACAGTTTATTCAAACTTACTCTGCATTTCAAGTAATTCTTTCAGCGCCTGTATCCACTGATTACATAAGTGCTCATCAACACACCAAAAAGTCACATCACTGCACCGCCAGCGGTGATTTCGGGCTTTCTTCACATAGTACACTATTTAAATTTAAAAAAGAAAGAAAGGGAAAAAAAAACAAAGAGGCATAATAAGACAGTTCCATGAAATGACAAATGCATTTCAGAAAGATAACCAAAATATCAACCTTTGGAAAAAAGTGGCAATTAATCTCCACTAATACCTGCACAAAAGTTCACCGAGCTTATATAATATTTTATCTGTCTTAAAGTCTGCAATATCTACATAATATAAAATGCCACAAGCTTAAGAAGATAAGCCAGACTGACATCAGCTCTCATGTAACCAAGAGGGTGAATTTAATTTCATAAAGCTGAAATTTGAGAAAAAGATTTAGAGTTTTCTTGTGCATTAAGAACTAGGCTGGTGAGACAAGTATACTTACCTTTTTATCTACAGTATCTCCAGTTGCTCTTACTGGAGGACTAAATGTGAGGAAAGTACTCTACAACATAAAATTTTGGCATGGGAGCCATCACATTTGCCCCATCTTTGCAGCACAGAAGTCACCACTGTTTTCCCAACACAAACAGACATTTATTTCAAGCACTTTGTTTTAAAAAATGCAGTCAATAATACAAAGAACCTTCTCATGCACACATTGTGATGGTTAGGGATAATTTAAAAAAGCCCAAACATTCAAGACTCATTTTTTCAGGCTCTCTTGATTTTCTAGTCAAGTAATAGAAAGCAAGTGTCCTGCTGCAGAGTCATTCAGCAGCAGAAACACAAGATATTAGTTTGAACTTCAATTAATAACTAAAACCAGTACATGTTCTTAAAGGAAGTGTTTTATTTTCCAAAATAAGGACCTTTAAATGTAAACTGACGGATTTTGGGGAGTTCTTTTGTTTGTTTTTGTGGTGCTTTTGCTTGCATTTATTTTGGTCTTTCTTTTTTTTCCCTTGAGGGGGAGGGGTTGTTTCATTGGGTATTTTTAAACATAGCATTTCTGTTAAAAAAAAATTAATCTGAGGATTCATTTTGAGTCTGCCTTAAAGTACCTTCAGCAAAGTAACTAGCACAAGCATTGTTATTTGCCTTACCTGTGAAAGCATGTAGCTTTGTCATCTTTTGCCATTTGCCAATGTTACGCTGTTTCTTGTTAAGTTCAGTTTCTTCTACAGAAATGATCTCAGAGATTGGTACAAAACAGTTTTCTGTGGGAACACAAGATCTTACACATTAACATCTTCAAACAGCACCCAAAGGATTATTTCTAGACCTAATATGACATAGGCATATGATTAGAGCAGCTGCTCAATAAGCACAACCAAGAGCATAATTAGGGATTAGCTGAATATTTTCAATTTTCTTTTGCCTTTAGTCAAAGAACATAATCCATAACCACCTCTAAGGTACCCCTAATTTCTCAGAAAATTAGGTATTTTATGTGTAAAAATATTTCTGCATGAAGCCAAAATCCAGCTACACTGAATTCAGAGTAATTCAATTTCCCCTTCAATGAGGTCTCGTCCAGATATTTGACAGTGAATAGTACAAGCCATTTCAACAAATGTGCAAGTAAATCTAGTGCAGAGACTACAGAGACTATTTGTTATTCACAAGTAAGTAGCTGGCTTATGAAAGAAGGGCATTCATATGAATTCTTAAGGTTCTAAATCCCACCAAGCTTTTAAACTTTCAGATCTACTAAGAAGAAAATTCTAGGTGTTATGTTTATGTAGTGTTAAATATATTGCCCTGGTATCAACTTCAAAACCCTTTTTTTGGTTTTTCAGAATTGAAGGCCTCTTGCTCTTAGACTATGAAAGAATTTCCTTCACCCTCACTCTGTTTTCTCTTATAGTTCCAGGACACCTTCTCAGAAGGTGTTAACTCCTGTCAAATTGAGGGTTTCCCCTCATTTTCATTACTGATTTCAACACTGCTCCGCTTTCACCTCATCTCAAAAAAAGAGTGGAACTGAAAATGCATGCTTTTTATTTCTGCACAAGCAAGTGCTCACTGTATATAAACACACGTAAAAAAGACATATTATTATGATAATATGTAAGTAATCTCTTACATAACAATTATAATATACTTGTTTCTTTTATATATACATAGAGAACAATACTGAGATATAAAGAGATAATAAACACATAAAATACAGACACCCCATTGTTAATGGGGTTTATCCCACACTTCATTTTCCTCTACTTTGCAGAAGTACAATGGTAGAAGCTAGGAATGTAGAATCAGCAAAGTTTTCCTGACCTTTTCACAGTGATGAGTACAATTCATTGCCACTAGTTCAACTTTATTATTTCTTCCCCGTCCTATTTAGCTGTTTTAGTCAATAGAGTCATTACCTATTGTCACATCTATTGACAAACTGTGGACTATTCACACAAGGGTTTTTTCCCCCCCTTTACAGGTGTTTTAGCATTTCACATGATTTATGCTCATTTAGTGATTTTGTCTTCTCAGAGGTTTTTTGCATGACTCAAAGGAAATGTAGCCTTCAAACTTTACACTGAGGTCTTTAAGGAATTTGGCTGTATTTGAATGTTTCAGCTACTTAAAAACAATTTTCAGCTTATAATAATTGCATTTCCCATACAAAAGGTATGATAGGGAAGTGCAGCAGTCACAGAATGTCTTTAAAAAGATCCAGTAGAAGAGATGAACTCTGAGATGTATGATATGTATATCATACATATGCACATGTAAGACTATATCAAGTATCTACTATTGGATAGTAATAGTTATTTTGTCTTCCTAACAGATATAAGATCTGCTAAGGGATCTCAATACAATTATTCACCTATACATTTATCCAAGGGAAAAGAAATGCCAAACAGAGACAGAACAATAAAGGAAAGGAAGCACATCCTTTATTCTTTGTTTTCCAAAACTGCTTTTACTTCTCATTTTACTACTGGCTATGCCACTGATCCGTATGTCAAAATATGAAAGAAAGCTTGTTGCATTTATCAAGATTGCATTTAAGTGTCAATCTATTTTGTTACTGCTCAAAGATAGGCTACAAAACTTATAAACCACATTTAGATCAAAATTTAAATGACAATGCTCTAATGAACATTTTGGGAAATAGTTCTCTTAGTGGATATTTATTAGCATGTATGCTGGGAGTAGCAACTGAAGCCATTGTTTTATTAGACATTTTTTTATATAATAAAGCTGTCCAGCTGCACAGATAGATAATGGATTTAAAAGTACTTCCAAATGCGTATCACTGAAAGCATTTCTTCGGAGTATGTATTTTAGCACATATTACATAGCTTATATTAAAATCCTAGACCTTAAAACCACTTCTAAGCTCTCCTAATTCTTCAGATGTGTTCTCCTTCTGACAATTGCATGACTGGAAGTTTTGATTTTCCAGCAAATCTCTTCATAGATGTGGCAAAAGAAGCAAAGAGTAAATACTTCAGTTACATATGTACTTTTTTTAAATCTAAACGCACCAGAGTTACATATCTGAAAAAACAGATTCCTGAAAAAAAGGGAAAAAACCCCACCAAACAAAAAGTGAAGCACAGTGATCCCACCTTCCCTCTGTGTATCTTTGGGTTTGGTGAAAGTCTGAGAAGTTTTTGTTCTATGAATACCAACTCTGCTGATTATACCCCTCAGTACTACTTAGCACCAGAAAAGCATCAAGCAAGTCCACTTCCCTGAGAGCAATCTCCAATCTTAAGGCAGTCAAAACCACATGCTACTGATCACAGTAATTGCAGAAGGCCAGAAAGATGCAAAGCTTTCTTAAACAAAATGCATTATTCAGAACATTTCCTATAGCTTACAAAACCAAAACCAAATGCAGTGACACTTGTGTTCTAATAGAATTCAAGAATTTCTATCAGTCCAAATATGATTATTACCATTGAACTTGCTGTTACATGCAACATTGTTTAATCACATAGCAAACCAACTACTTAGTTCCACCCTTCTCCCTTTTCCCCAGAAGGAAGAATGTGAAGGAATCAGAGACCTTCAGTACAAGCAGCACAGTCCTGTCCTTATAAACACAATGCCCTCATCTGCCATGTAGTCACCAAAACCTACCCTATAAAAATAAGTAGAAGGTCTATCCCACCCTCTTTTGAGAGTTCAACAAAGTTGACATATGTACTAATTATAGTCCTTTCCCACACTTACTTCTGAAGCATTTACTCTAATATCAAGTAGCATGAGCCATTTATTTCACTGACGTAGCATAAAGGTGTTTACTCAAAGACCTTCAACTTTCTGCGGTTCTCACAAAACATTGCCACATTAACAAAACAAATACACACAAAGGAAGGTGCTTACACCAGCACCACTAGATCAACATCAATGAAAAAAAGTTGAAACATGGGCTCAGACCATACCAAACAAAGAATTTTACTTGGCTTAATCCAATATACTGTACCAATGAGCATACAATAGTGTCTAGACAATATTCCAGGCAAAATACTGTGATGTTTTCAACACACACATCTAGATTCAAGAGACTGCATTTTGAGTTCAGAAACACTGAAAAATTTATCAATTTTCTTAAGCTTAGTCTCAAAAATCTTCACATATTTATGTTTTCATGCCTCACCTTTTTCAAGGTCTAGCATACTAGAGACAAGGAGTTGACCATCCAGAAAAGCAGGATGAAGGGGCATGGCAAAAAAAAAATACAAAAAATCAAAACCAAAACCAACAAAATCAAACAAAAAGCCCCAAACAAAACACACAATGAACAGGTGACAATTTTCTCAACACACTGGTTGTGCCGGTCATTACTCATTCTGGGTCACAGTGCTCTTAATCTTAACAGACATTCTTCCTAAGAGCAAACTAAAAAATCAGCAATATACTGGGTTAGATGCACAGTACTTTTCCCTTACATCAAGCAAGTGGGAGAGGGGGAAAAACCACAGAAAAACATCCAAGGTAGGCACACTAACAGTGGGCCTTCTTTGTGCAAAATGTAGCCAGAAGTTGTGAAGTGTGTTTTTCTGTGTTAAGAAAGGCTTTTTGGTGCGTCATTGCTGTCTGCCACTCCCACAGAACGCTTCCCAAGTTTATAAGCAAACTCACTCAGAACCTCAGTCAAGACTTGATCATTCATCACTGCCAACTATGCGTCCTACAGGCCAAATTCCTCCCTCAGAAATGTGTTAGCTCAAAGCAACACAGACGTGAACAAGCATAAAACCACTGCTGATCACAGCATTTGGTTTATTCTTAAAATTCATCTGAGGCCCATGGATGCAGGAGCATTCAGAATTAATTTAAACTATTAGTATGTTCTCGTGACTTAAAAATAAACAAGTAAAAAGCTAGGATGTAGATTTAAAGAAAAAGTATTTTTTCAGTCACTCTGAAAACTAATTTGCTGTTAAGAGACCACATGAAGGTTTAAGTGTTAAGGTTTAAGCTTTGCCTTCACCTAAAAGCAAGGAAACAGGAATGTTTTCTATCAAAAGGTACACTGCATTATACCAATCAGGCAGTACAGAAAGCTGTGTTTAATAAACATCAGAATAAGAGAAGGTGGGATATTGAGCAGAATTACAGACAATTCAAATCCTAAGGGAGGGGGAAGAAAAAAGGCATCATGAGTAAATGATTTAATTCAAAACTGTGGAACAGTCACAGAAACATCCAAAGACCATGATTTCATTATATACAGCCACGTATAAGGAAATTGGCTTCTTTTATTTTAAAGTAAATCTTCAAGTACTTTGTAAACAGATAGACCAGTTTATACTATGATCACATTGCTACTTCACATCATAAGAATCTGAATCAAAGCACAGCAATTTGAACTTGGGTCAGTTTGCATATTTACATCGTACTATTGAATGTCTTCCCATTGTCTTTCTTTTATTTCCAAATTAAATCTTTTCAACTCAACTGCATTGAGTGAAAAAGTGATAAAGCAGGCAATAAGATGCCCTTATTCACCTTAAGGGGAGAAAAAAAAACCACCAGAGGTGTATGCTAAAAACCAGGTATTGTTTAAAATAGTGTGCATCTATATTTGAATAATGTATCTTCCAGATAACACATTCCAAAGACACAATGGCTGCTAGAGCAATTATTCCCCATATCCTACCTGCTCATGTAGTTGCGGAATTGTGTATAGAAAAACATGGATCCCATTTCTACACATGCCCTTTGCCAACTGGGAATGACTGATGAAAAATGACCTTGACTAAGGATGTGACAACACACTACAGTGGCAGGCGCTGGGCAGACCTTATTTCCAAGCAGGCCCACCCTCTGCTGTCTTGGTATCGTGTTAACCAAACTGAGCATTCTTTAGAATCCACATCATAGTGGTATCAGTCTTGTGAACAACTAATACTGAGGCTTCCTCAGGCAGTTGTTTTGGAAAAGACACCTGGAGGAGAATTCTGAAGGGAGAAATGCAAAGGTTAAAAGACAGCACACAGAGTAAGTGAATGTGTACAGCTCAGGGTCTAGTTTGGTCATCCCCTTCATGTTTGTAATTCAGAAATAAAAAAAAAAATCCCAGAAAAATGACAGGAGAATTTCATTTTACATTTGTAATGCCCTACTACCAGGCATGATAAAATTGTAGCCAATGCTTCTACAATACCTGTAAGAATATATGGACAATATATAATCTGCTGTGAATTTGGTACAAAAAGTTTTATCATGTGTTACTTGAGAAAAACCTGATTGTGCCATCAACATGAGGAAATAATAGAATAATTTATCTGACCAGCTTTGCATACATTGTTTATGATTAACAACTAAATCTCACAGAGAAATGTTACAAGGTTGAAAAATAATGTTCTTCAGAACATTTGAAGATGAAGGCATGCCTAGGAATAAAGATGCGTAACTAAAATTAACAGAGAAACACATGAAAAATTTCAGGTAAAACTTTTCTGTCCAAGTTCAAACACGTCTAACCATCGAAGAACAGGAAATGGGAACCGCTTCCCACTGAAGACAGAACTTGAAACTGTGATGAAGATAAACAAGGTCTAACAGTAGAAAATAAACTGTATTTAGGAATTTAGGTTTTAAAAGTGTTCCATAACTTGAACAAGCATTTAATGTTTTTGCTACTGTTGGTATCTTCTCAATGATAGCATTAAAAATAATTCTCCTGAATTAATGTTTCTTTCTTCTGCCATTTGACAGAATGGGATTTAAATATATATATGTAAATATCATTATACAGAGATGACAAAACATAAGAATCTCCCCATATTCTCTTAAACTGTATTTTCCTGGACAACAGGACAAAGTCTCTGTTGCTTCCTACCTGTTCTTGATTTGGATGCAACACGGAAAGGTAAATATTTCAACACTTCTACAATACATCTAACTATAGCCCTAGTTCCGTACCTGTCAAAGTCTGAAAACCTTGAAAAAATATATACCAAACAATATTTAATTATATAGCTAAACTCAAGACAATAATAAATGCTCAGAAAATAAGCAGTCTTGATTTTTTACAGTTTGAAGACAACTGCTTCACTGTAATAACTACCTATTAAACAAGAAATATAGCACTTTTATACTGCATAATTTAGTCTGTATTTAGACACAATGCACAATAGTCACGTAGTCAAAGGCTAAATGGTAGAAAGATACCAATCTTGGTCAAGCAACTCCTCTGAAATTATATGCTTCTAACTAACCGTCTTCCATATTATTAAGTTTATTTATATACTGTCATGTATGCTGCTCATATTTCCAAAATAATTGAGGAGAACACAATGAATCATCCCAGGTCTTAAAAGAGCTTAGAGTCAACAGGGCAGCAATACAAGACTGTGATGGTATTAAAGCACAAGCACGGGCAAGACATGAATTAATCAGGGAGTTAAGAAGAGAAGGTACATTATCTATCGTATTGTTCTCTACATAAATTGTACCTGTGCCTCCAGAACACTTAGGTATTTCTTTTTCTTCTCCCATCATCTGTCTTCTGATTTCACATCAAGTTTTCCAAAATTTTGTAAACAGCTACGCTACAGGACAGCAAGGACACTCAGTAACCACACTTGCCTCCTGAGGAATCTCCAGCTGGGTACTGCTTTGGAAACTGCCCCACAAGGAGTCTAGTTTACTAGGTCCCACTCTCCTTCCACCATTCCTAGCATTCTGGCATCCATTGGGAACATGCTTTGGGACAGGTTCACACTTGGTTTGGCCTAAGTCATGAAAACTTACAACTTAAAAAGTTGTAAAAGCTCACAGCTGTAAGCAGCTGTAAACTTGAGAGTGCTAGTGAGAGAGCTGGTGTGATTCTGTGGGACTCTTGCTTTGTATAAATGAAGGCATCATACAGCAGAATGTAGCTCCCCTTGAACTTGCTCTATGCGACAGATCAGTCAACTAGTAACTTTGCAAAGGCATTTTTAGAAGGACGTTACACAATTCAACTGAATTATCTCCAAAGGAGGGGCTACTTTACCTACTGGAAGCAATTATCCCAAAAGTCTTTGGAACTTTGTATTTTAAATTTAAGAGCGAGGTACCTTTCTCTAGACTAATTTTATTTCATTTTGAAAAGTATACAGCTTATTTTTCACATCAAGATATTTAACTCAGCAGAATTAAAGAATCAATTTGTCTTTAAAGCCTTACGTTCATTTAGCTGAACACCTGAAGAAAGGTCATGAATTTTCAAATACTTTTTTCATCAGTACTGCTGATAAAAACTAGATTATGTCAAACTATTCACACAATAGCAGATGAAGCATAACAAAGTCTATTTTTACATTATGAATAAGAAGGGTTGTACTTGACTAAACATGACCGATTCTCAATTATGAAAACTGTAACACCAAATTCTTAAAATTCTTCTTGAGTCCTCCTTCTCCTTTTTCCCTCACCTTCTTGAGAAAAGCCTCTGGCCAATAAGATATTATGATAAAATCAGAAAAATATTTAACAAAGATACATGATAAGAAGGAAAGAACTATTTAAGTTTGGAGACTTGCCTGGGACTGGAAGCATCTATATTCAAATGTTTCTCAGATAAAACTTCTAGTCTGCCTTTCTATTATTAGTTTCTCTCTGTCTCAGTTCCTCCAACTTCTAAAATGAGGATGACAGAAGTTTTCAACTCTACTACAGCAGCTGCTATGAAAAAAAAGACATTACACATTTTCAGATGTTCACATGCCATGTTAATAAGGCTATATTAACAATGGGAATAATTACTCTATAAAAACCCCAAAGTCAAAGACCCTGAAAAAATACCATTTAAAGTACATAGAAAGTTTGATATGCAGACATTTTCAGAAGTTAACCTGAATTTTTTGGGGGGATTTCCAGCAGTAACTTCTCACACTGGTAGTTTTGTACATCAGAATCATTCTAACTGCACACAAGGGAAACTATGAACAGCTTTGTTACCACGTTACGAACTATTAGCCTATACTAAATCTTTTCAAACCAGTAAATTGCAAAAGTTAAACTTTGAAATTTTTTTATTGAGTCCTTTAGAAAGCGAAAAGTTGCAAAAAAAGCTCACTTAAAAAACCCCACAACAGTATTTGCCTGAAACACTGCATGAAAGTGCTTTTTAACCGTAAGTCATGCAAGTAAAAAAAAAACAAAACTGCTTTTAAGGTTCTGTAAGTCTATTATGTCCTGCTAGGACTAATTTAAATACATTACAAACTACACGCTTCGACCTACTCGCAGCGCCAAGTGGGGTTCAGTCGCACAAATCTGTGCTTTGCTCAGCGCGCCGCAGGGACAGGTGTCCCCCTGTGCCGTCCGAAACACACACGCTCGGACGGGTTGCTCCGGGACACGCTCGCAGGGGCTGCGGCTCAGCGTGAGCAGCTTTCGGCTTTGTTTCGGAAGGCACAGCCCGATTCAGCGGCAGATTCGCTCAGCACAGGCGGCTGCCGCCGGGCACAGTCCCGGCCCCGTCTCCCCGCTCCGAGCGCCCGGTTCGGCCCCGCGTGGGATAGGGGCACTCTCCGCCTGTCACCGCCGAACTCTGAATCCCAGAGGCGCCGCAAAGTCGAGCGCAGGAAGCGCTCACGCCGGCAGAGCGCTCCGGATGCTCAGCGCGCCCCGCGCCGCGGGACCCGTGTCAGCACTGCCCGCAGGCCGCCCCCGCCGGCACCCGCGCCCGCAGCCACCGGGGACGCTGCGGACGCCCTTCCCCCCCGCCGAGGGCAGGCGGCCCCTCGGGGGCCCCGGCACGCCCCAGGCCGCGGCAGGTGCGCTCCCGGTGCGCTCCCGGCCCCTGCCCGCCCCACTCACCGCCGGCGCGGCGCGGCGGGCGGGGGTCGCGCCAGGCCAGCCGCCCCCGCTCCTCGTCTAAGGTGACCTCCCAGGAGCGCCGCCCCAGCCCCAGCGAGGACACCAGTCGGGGCCGGCGGCCGCCGGGGAGCCGCTCCATGGCCGCCGAGAGCCCGGCCCGCCGCAGCCGCTACCGCATGGCCCGGCGGCGCGGGCGGCGCGGCGGGGGAGCCCAGCACCTAACGGCGCCCCCGGCCCGCCGCTACCCGGCTGGCCCGGGCGGGGCGGCCGCGGCGTCAGCGCTACGACAGTGCTGCGGGGCGGAGCCCGGCTCCCGGCACGGCGGCTCCCGGCGCCGGGGCAGGCCGGGGCCGGGGCCACTGGCACATCAGGCCGGGGCAGTGAGGCCGGACTGCCCGGGCTGCGGGCGCAGGGGTGGCGGAGGGCCCGCCCTGCTTTGTCTCCTCGCCCCGCTGGCGAGAGACACGTGCTCTGCGACCCGCGGCGGAGCCCCCGGGCCGGGCTCCGTGCGGAGACACCGGGGCTGACACCGTGACGGGGTTGAATTGCTTTCGTGGGTTTTTTTGCACCCATCCTGGTGTCGATGGACTCGTCTCTCTTTCCCTTTAGACAGTGAAAATGCAATGAGTACATCTATCCACAAATGTCTGGAGGTCACTTGGTCTGTTCAGCCTGGAGAAGAGGAGACTGAGGGCAGACCTCCTTGCAGTCTACAACTTCCTCGTTAGGGGAAGAGGAGGGGCAGCCACTGATCTCTTCTCTGTGGTGAACAGTGACAGGACCCGAGGGAATGGCCTGAAGTTGTGTCGGGAGGTTTAGGTTGGATATTAGAAAAAGGTTCTTCACCCAGAGGGTAGTTTGGCACTGGTACAGGCTCCCCAGGAAACTGGTCACAGCACCAAGCCTGACAGAGTTCAAGAAGCATCTGGACAATATCAGGTACGCGGTGTGACTCTTGGGGATGGTCCTGTGCAGGGACGGGAATTGGACTCAATGATCCTTGTTGGTCCCTTTCAACTTGGTGCATTCTGTGATTCTGTAACCAAACTTTCCTTTACATAAAAACATTTTGGGTTGACCTTAGAGATAGCAACAGTAATTCACTATAGTTAAGCTCTTAATTCTTTGCTGTCTTTCCTCTGTGGTGTTCCTTAACCTTCTCACTATAACCATCAGCATCCTATCAAAACACAGAACAGACAGAGCAGCAGTAGCTCCACCTCCAACCTTACTCCAAATCTGAATATTTCCTATAGAGTGTAGTGGAAAACATCTCTGGTCTGTTCTTACATGGGTCCTGCTAGGGCCAGCTCTCTGCTACGTGAGGATGATACAGAGACACTCCAGCTGGCTTTGCTCAGAGCCAGTGCACGCTGAAAAAGCTTCTGCACTTCGGCTTTGCTCTGACCCTTGTAATGTACTCACATTTCACTCACAGTTTACAAGGGCATGTAGCAATAGAACAAAGGGAAATGGCTATAAATTGAAAGAGGTGAGGTTTAGATTAGATACTCAGAAGAAATTTTTTACTGTGAGGCAGGTGAGACAACAACAGGTTGCCCGGAGAAGCTGACGTTGCCTGATCTATGAAGTGTTCAAGGCCAGGTTGGACGGGGCTCTGAGTAACCTGGTCTAGTGGCAGATGTTTGCCCATGGCAGGGGGATTTGAATTAGATGATCTTTAAAGTCCCTTCCAACCTAATCCATTATGTTATTTTGTGATTTCATTTTCTGAAAACAAATGACCTAGGCATTGCCATCGAAGTTACATGTTCAAGACAGTCTTCCAGTGCAACAAATACTTGTTACCATCTATCTCAATCATTCCAACATGCTTTCCTCTGGCCTTGAAAGACACGATGTTGCCAACTTTTTGTTGAACATACCTAGATATGCCACACTTTCACAATTTCAAGGAATGCTTTGTTTCTATCAGTTGTTTTGTTGCTTATATTTTTTAATCTGTCCCTCCACAGACACCTATAGAGCTCTTTATGCTGAGGCTTAAAAGTCCATTGTGAACATTGGTCTGCCAAATGCAGTGCTGAGCAGTCATTAACGTCTCACTGGTTCTTTGCATTTTCCCACCTGCATCATCTCTTATTGTCCCTCTTATACTTGGATGGTAAGATCCCTGGGCCAGGAACATCCTTTTTGTTTTGGGTCATCTCATAACTAGCACATTTAATTTCCATTATTTGTAACCATTTCTGCAAGCCGAGATAGCTCTGTGGTACCCACAGTGCAACAGAGACTTTCGCTACTGCCCCCTTCAGACATCCTCCAAGACCTAATGGATCACTAATACAAAGCCGTAGTCTTAAAAATATTACACGGGGGTACTTATTTATCATTTATCCACTGGGCAAAGTAGATTTAATCTTTTATGGCCCACAATGACTAGAATCAATATTCTTACACTGTGATCCATGTTAGCTGAAGAAGTAAAAAGTTCATTCTTTTTGCCACTCTTGCCTACGATGGTTTCCTTTTATTATTATTTTGACAACTCTTTTTGGCTTAGCTAAGGGTAAAGTCTTCAACTGTAAAACACAAAACTAATAAAATATTCTCTGGTATTTTAGAAGCCTACAAAGTTATACTAGCAACTATACTGCTATACTAGCAGGAATGGCATTCCCTATCCACATTTCTTATTTGTTTAAATAAGAGAAAAACACTTATTTCGTCCTTGCACAATGTTTTAGTGTAACAGTGTTTTGGTCACAGAATCACAGAATGCGTAAGGATCACAGTGGGGCATCTGGTCCAACCTCCCTGCTCAAGCAGGGTCCTCCTAGAGCACATTGCACAGGATTGTGTCCAGATGGTTCTCAAATATCTCAAGTGAGGCAGACTCCCATAACCTCTCTGGGCAATCTGTTCCACTGTGTGCTCAGCTTGACAGTAAAGAAGTCCTTCCTCATATTCAGGTGGAACTTTCTGTGCCTCAGTTTCTGCCCATTGCCTCTTGTCCTGTTGCTTGGCACCACTAAGAAAAGCCTGGCTCCATGCTCTTGACACCTTCCCTTCAGATACTTACAGATATTGATGAAGTCACCTCTCATTTGTCTCTCCTCAAGACTGAACAGGCCTGTCTTCCCCAGCTTCTCCTTATAAGAGAGATGCCCCAGTCCCTTAATCAACTTTGTTACCTTCCACTGGACCTGCTCCAGGAGCTCCATATCTCTCTTGGAGCCCATGATTTGGGATGCTTCATGCTACTACAGGAATGTCTTCCAGGAATTCTTAGCAGGGCTCTGTTGGGTCCGCTCTGTTACTCTCTGGTAGTTCCCTGAATACCAACATGTGCATGTGTCCCTAGAAAGTAAAGATCAAATTTGAGCCAATGCAATTTTTTTTTTTTTTTTAGTACTGTATGTTTTTCTTTCCTGATTCTAACAGAGAAAGAATTTCTAAACGATGGGTGATTTGGTAGACCAAAGCACACACATGTCACTTGTTGTCTTACTACTTATTACCTAAGCCTTTAATTACCACTGAGGGGACATAACTGCAGATGCAGTGATGCCAGTAAACTGCAGGATTTTTAGCCTAAAATCCTAGTGCTAAAGATGTCCCCTCACAGGGCTCCACCCTGAGAAATTACATGGTTGTAGAAGCACCTCACTTTATTCACAGGTCCAGAGAGGCCACAGGAAAGGTTGTAGTTGCAGTTAACTTGGGAACAATAATACGTTGTGTAACAAGTACGATTCACAATGTCAAATGGGAAGAATGCAGGAAGGTAACACAACTTACAAGGGTTATTGCTATGACCCATTTACTACCTATCTAGCAAACAACACAATGTTTAAAGCCAAATTTCTCTTCTCGGTATCTGATTTTATCGTGGGTCATTCATCTCAAGTGACAGCGGGGCAGCTTTTACTCTTGAGGGAAGGGATGCCATCCAGAGGGACCTTGACAGCCTTGAGGAGTGGGCCATGCAAACCTCATGAAGTTCAACAAGGAAAAGTGGAAGATCCCACGCCTGGATCAAGCCAATCACCAATATCAGTACAGGATGGGGGACAAAGGGATTGGGAGCAGCCCTGCAGAGAAGGACTTGAGGGTACTGGTGGATGAAAAATTGGACATGACCTGACTGCAGTCCCGCAGCCCAGAAAACCAACTGTATCCTGGGCTGCATCAAAAGAAGCGTGGCCAGCACGCTTCACCCTGGGAGATATTTCTCCACCTTGACTCTGCTCTTGTGAGACCCCACCTGGAGTGGTGAGACACTGGAACAGGTTGGTCAGAGAAGTTGTGGATGCCCCATCCCTTGAACTGTTCACAGCCAGGTTGGATGGGGCTTTGAGCAACCTGGTGTAGTGGAAGGTGTCCTTGCCCATGGCAGAAAATTGTTCTATGATTCTGAGATCTATATAAAAAGTACTTACCTCTAGTAGCTCTATGTTATACTGAACAGGATCAATACATGATACTGCAGGCAGTCAATTAAGGAACACTTTTGAGCAGGTATGTCTTTTTAATCAACAGGAGCAGAGAGGTATTGTTCAGCATGCCCTGCATTACCAAAATATTGATTTAAATCATTACAAACTTGAGCTATCACTCTTCCAAATCTCTTCATTAGGATCCTGCAACTAATTTATTTTCCATGGGGAAAATCAAACATGCTCTTGTAGTATTTTGGTAGAAGTAGAAAGTACTGCGTATACAACCTTATCTGAGAGAGTGAGTCTCTCAGTGAGTGAAAACATGTAAAATATCTTAACCAAAGTGAAAGCTGGATAATACCCACACAAGTGTGCTGGAGACCAAAGAAGAATCATATTCCACCATATTTTTGCCACTCTACTCAGTTCTGTGTTGGATGCTTAGAAGGAATCACAGATTTGTATCAGGAACTCTGGAAAACACAGCTGGTCACAGACATGTGATGGAGCCCTTCAGCTGCAATGCCCTGTGCTTCCAAGGAGATGGCTCCAGGCTCAAGGACTCCTCCATGTCCCAAAGAACATCTGCAATTGTGCTCAGTCCCACTGAGGGAAGAGAAGGCAGTTCAAGATCAGTGAATGTATTCCTGATATTGTCCCTTGAATAGGTATGTAAGAGCCAGCTGGGTCTTGTCCAAATGACAAGTAATGCAGAAGTGAAACTTTAATCTCATTGCTAAGGAATTTAAAACTGGAAACAAAATCTAGAAAGGATTTTTACTATATATACATACATACATACATATATATATAATTATTATTATTATTACTACCCATAGATAACTATGAAGTATTGCTTTTCTTCCACAGAAAAATGCC